ATTGACGAGATGGAAGCAGTGATGCCATTAATAGAAGTCCTCAAACTGATTCCGGACCCTCACAGAGATGTGAGAAACTTGATATTGGAAAGGCTCAACATATATCAAGATTCAGGTGATGCATATGATACCAATCCAATTCAAGCCACTGATGAGAGGATTATTCAAGAAAAGTTGGAAGATCCTGGATCTTTCACTCTACCATGTTCCATCAAGCAATCGACTTTCAGCAATTGTTTATGTGATCTAGGAGCTTCAGTCAGTCTAATGCCACTCTCTGTGGCACGGAAGTTGGAATTTGTCCAATACAGGCCTTGCGACATCACCTTGATTCTTGCTGATAGGACTACAAGGAGATCTTTTAGCCTGCTGGAGGATGTGCCAGTAATGATTAATGGAGTAGAGGTGCCTACTGATTTTGTTGTGCTTGACATGGATGAAGAATCTAAGGATCCTCTGATCTTAGGAAGACCTTTCTTGGCTTCAGTGGGAGCAGTAATAGATGTCAGATATGGTAAGATTGATCTCAACCTTGGGAGGCATGTCAAGTTGTAGTTTGACATCAACAAAACTCCAACAAGGTCAACGATAGAGGGAAAGGGCTTGGAGATTCAGAGATCGGTTCCAGGAGAAGAATTTAAAGCTGCAAGAGTGAAGGAACCAATTCTAGTCCAGACTCAACCTTCAAACTCAGTCGCTCGATCGAGTATACCTTCAGCGTTTGATTAGCGAGAGCTCAAAAAGAAATCTGATCTCCAAGAAAGAACCGTTCAGAAGCTGACCCACACTGTTGAAAAGCTTAATAACACACTAAGGGGAGCTCAATCTCAGACCAACACTGACATTACTTCAAGAGGGAAAGTCACTTCAGGATGGTCAGAAGAAAAAGACTATCCACCAGAAGAGGAAGCAGCTTACTTTGAGGAAAGGGGAATTGAGTACTCAGCTGTACAACTATCAGAGGAGAATGCTGAGTATAACGATGAGATTAGTGAAGAAGAGGACTTCTCAAGTTCTCTCTGTCACATATTTTCAGCCTAATAAGTGTGAGGAGTCAAGCTTAGAGACTTAAAACAAGCTCACTTGGGAGGAAATCCCATGTCTATCTCTGTACATATTTTTGTTTTTTCTTGTTATTTTTAATGCATTTTCTTGTTATCAACAACTGAGTGAAGTGGATTCTGGCTCAGAGTGCAATAGAATACTCGACCACAAGGGCAAGGATCAAGTGAAGCTGTGTGATCGAGTATCAGTGGGGATTTAGTCTCAAGATTTTTGAAGTTTCAACATGTCACTCTATTATGCAAGGCCACATGCTGATGAAGAGTTGTGGTCGAGTATATGATGATTTTGGCCCAAATTTTTTTTTTTTTTTTTTTTTTTTTAAAAAAAAAAAATCATCACTATACTCGATCAACAGAAGCCACATGGAGAAGAAGCAGAAACACAACAGCAAGACTCCTCAATGGCCTGACAGTACACAAGCAGGCATTGATGAGCACATCAACTCATCCTTCAGCTGAGGTAACAACTCCATTTCTCATTGTTTATACCATCTCATGTCTTCTTTCTTTATTTGTTTGTCCTGAGTACTCTCTTCCAAGTTTGATCACACAGAGGACTGTGTGATTCGAGTTTGGGAGAGGGCTCAGGAAGTATCTGATGTGTTTGCTTTGTTCTTGTTTTCAAATTTTTCTTGCATTGTGCATATTGTCTGCATTCATTTATGTCATTGAAAAAACCCTAAAAATTTGAAAAATTTCTGAAAAAGATTTCACAAAAACAGAGTGTTCATGTAGCTGCATTGTCATTTGAGGATTGAGTCTAGAATGTGTCATATAGGATTGTTGCATATGCATAGGGGATGATGATGAGATAACCTTGTAAGCTTGCTCATTTACTGAATGAATTCAATGCCCTCGTTGTTAGTTGTTTAATGCTTGTGATAGAACTTGAAGTAAGACAGCACCATATTTGGAATTCACAACTTGACTCTCTTGTTTTAATTGAAGCATGCTTGATGTGATTCTTTTCCCTATCTATTAGAACCTGAACTTGACTTATAATTATCATGTCTTTGCATTGTTGTTGAACTTGTGGCTACCAATACACATACTTGGATTTTCTTTCACCTTCTACCACTCTTGCTAATCCAAGTAGCTGATTCCCATCATTGGAACAGTTTCCCCCACCCTGAACCTAACCTTTCTTTCAAGCCCTGAATAAATTTGTGTGTGTGTGAGGCCTATTTCCGGATTGAGCTTGGTAGAAAGTGGTAGGTATGAACCGACAAGAATGGTATCCCATGTAGTTCTAGTCCACGCTTTTTGGGCTAGATAGGACTAGGTGGGAGTTTTACTTTGGGTTTTGGAATGTGTTTGGAAAGAAAATGAGAAAGAAAGACAAGTGTTATTGTTCTTAGGAGATGGAAGTGAAACAGAAAAGAATATCTTGTTAGTCTAGTAAAGGATTTGGGAAGCTTGAAAATAAAAGAAGTTAGGCTCTGTGCAAAGTAAAAAGAAAGGCAAAAGCCTAGAGTTGTCTTAAGTCATGAGATGAGAAGAAGAGCCTTAGTTGTTAAAGAAAGTCCCAATCCACTAGAAAGTCTAAAAGAAAACCTCTCCTTAGAACAAAACCAAAAAGAAAGAATGGGTTGATCCAAGAGATTATTGGAACATGCCTTGAGTGCAAAAGGGTAGAATTAGGATCATTTCTGGGGTTTAGAGATAGGACCATATATGGAGTTTGATATACTTATGGTTATTTGGGTAGATGGGGTCTGTTCTTGTATGCGTAGGTTGGTTCTAACCTTTAGCATTCTACTAAAGCTCTGTCCATTCATGAGAGTTCCATGTTACTGTGAAATAGTCTGAAACCATTTACAGAGGAACCATCTTTGTTTCTCAGCCTTGTCCTTTAAACCAAATGAGTTCTTCAACAATGTTTTGCTTGATTCATGGTTTGAGCTTAATCAATGTTAAAGGGAATTGATGATCTGAAGGTGTGTGTAGATTGGAACAAATGTTAGGTTGTCTTGTGATGAATATGGCTAAAGTTTTTAAGTAGAGTTTGGTCTCTAAGCATTCCACAATTACTAACTTGGACATTGAGTTCATTTGCTTTGTCTGCATGCTTTGGTTCTGAATCCCCGCTTTCAAACCTCTCCTCCAGCTTGTTCTTAATTGTTTGCTTGAGGGTAAGCAAAGACTAAGTTTGGGGGAGTTGATATGTCTATATTTTACTTGTTTTGAGCATCCATTTAGCATCACTTTATCATCATTTCGTCATTGTTTCATACCATTCTTCATCATTTGTCATCACTTTGCATGATTAGGATAGTTTTGCATGCATGTTGCATATTTGAGTTGTTTTCAGGTGATTTGGAGCTGTTGGTGAGCAAATTGGAAGAAGTGGACCAAAACCCATCAGTATGCTCGACCACGAGGTCGAGCACCATCATCATGACCTTCCAAATGCACTCGACCACGACCAAGTCGAGCACCAAGTCGAGCACCAAGTCGATCACCAACTCGACCTACCACTCGACCTCATGGTCGAGTACCAGCTCTTTCACCAAGTAGACCACGACTCCAGATCACGACTCGAGCACGCAGTCGAGTATCCTCCACCAACTTACTCGACCAAGCACTCGACTGCACGCTTCAGAGGCTTCTCAGATCCCAACTCAACTAGACACTGAGCATAAGGAAGAGAAGAAGATGAAGCGGGACTCGAGTGCATACTCGACCTAGTCACTCGATCGCATCACGACCAGATCAAGAAACCGCAAAGGAGCCAGCTTTGCTCGACCTCTTCACTCGATTAGACGAAGCCGAGTGTCTCCGTAAACCGCCTTAATATTTTGTCGTCTTGTGATTTAGGGTTTCCAAGTATTTGCTATAAATAGGTTGTTTCTCATAATTTTCAGACTAAGTTTTATTCTGCAGAACAATTAGTGCTTTCTTCATATTTGTAATCCAGATTTCTCTTAATCTATTGAGTATTTGCTTTTGATTTCTTCTACAAAGTTGTTCATCTTGTTGAGATCTTGCTAATATGAAGTTTTTATGTATTTCTGGGTTTGTGTTCTTGGTTATGAATTTTGAGTAGTGATTAGGGTTCTTGAGGATGGGTTAGAGTAGTTTAGAATCCTTGATCTGCTAGGTGGTTGAGTTTGATTGGTAGATCCCTTCTGGATTAGTTGTTCTTAATGATGATTGCTTTCTGATCAACTGGAATCTGAGCCCAGACATTTCCGCACCCAAAAGGTGTTCGAAGAAATGTCTGAACCACTAATTCCAGAGATTCGTGGCTCTGTACCAAGGTATTGGTTACAGAGAGCGTTTTGGCTTAGACTTGTTGTTTCGTAATGCCTGTTAGGTTAGCTCTCGTCAATGGTGATTGAGTCTGGGACTAGCTTTGCTTGAGGATCTCTGTTGCGGTAGCACTTTGATTTGGCTATTGAACTTGTTGTCTAGGGATAGTTTGTTGAGCATGTTAACCACCTTTTAGATTAAGGAGACTTCACTACTCGATCACCCCATCATCGGGAATTTCTCTTCCATTTGATTTCCTTGTTTACATCGCTATTGATTGCTTGATCTTGTTACTTGTTGCTCAGTTTTATCATTTCTACCCTGTTTCATTTGAAGTACTCGACCACACCCAGTAGTTTGGTAACAAACTGTGCAGTCGAGTACCCTGTTTACAGTTTCTGTTAAATTACTCGACCTGATACTCGACCACATCCAGTGCTTGGCATCAAGCTGTGTGATCGAGTATATTGCCTGTTATTGTTAGAATTTATGTTATCTGCATGATCGTTAGAGCTGTTAACAACACCAAAACCTGTTATTGCTTGGCTTGACTCTGTGATATTTGATTGCATCTTGATTGCTAGCATCACACCCATTTGGATTGACACCTTAAATACTGCAATGACATGATAGTACTTTAAGGATAATTGATCTTAGTTAAAATCTTACAATAGCTCCATTCAAACAAATGGAGCTATTGTTGATGACGACGATGTAGCAACAACACCAGAAACTAGTACCCAAGTCATTGAGCCACCTCCAGGTCTCATCAGCAATGATATCGAGCGTACGGCGCGTTACATTTCCAAAATGGGGTTGGTCGTTGAGATGTTTCTGATGCGAGCTCGAGCAAATAACCCAAGATACAACTTTATGTGGAGGTCTGATCCCTTTCACTCGTTTTACCAGCAGAAGCTTACCGAATACCTTTCTCAGTCTTAGCATGGTGATGCTGCTGCTTGCCAGCAGATGCTTACTGATCTACAAGAAGAGGGAGCTAATCAGGATAATGCTCTTGCTGCTCTACCCCATCTTGCTCACCCTCCACCCATTCATCTGCCAGATGGTCTTGAGTTTAGACGTCCCAAGGGGATGAATGGCAAGGAGTTTAAAACTATGAAGCTCACAGCGCAGTTTGGCGCTTGGTATGGTAACGATTTCTGGCTTGGGTTCAAGAACAGAGCTGGGTTTGAGTTTACGAATCCAACTCATAGCAACTTCCCACGTTTCACTCGGTTTGTTCTCGAGTATTCACAAGTACTAAAACCCCCTCAAGATTTGAAAGAAAAGGTGAGCAAGAATGACACCTATTTGGCAGCCATTCATGACGGTTTCTTCCGTCTTCTTCAGTCTGATTTTCTCCAAGAGATGGAATGGCGGCTTGGAGGGGTGGTGTCTATGACTGATTGGCATTCTTCTCTCGACAAAGATTTTCCTAACGACAAGGAAGAGCTGCCACCACCACCACCAGGAACTGGAACTGGAATGTCTTCTCCTCTGGAACCAGAGCCAAATACACAAAAGATTGACGAGCCTGCAGGCCTTGTTCCAGAAGAGCAGTTTCTTGCTCAACACCTGGTAGTGTTTTCTTGGACCTCTTACATGTCTTTTTTTTTCTTTCTTAACGTCTGAGTTGTGTCTAATCGTTAGGAGTTATACACTTTTTTTGCAGGGTTGGTGTACCATCAGGGTTTCTGTTACCGATATCGATGGTTGTGAGCTACTGGTCATTGAGAAAACAGTGCAGTCGTTATCGGAAAACGTGGCGAGTTTCAAGGAGAAAATAGCTGAGGAGATGGGAATCCCACCAGAGAGACAGGTATTATACTGTAAAGCCGGGTTGTTAGAGGAGAACAACAAGTCACTTGCACATTACAATGTGGGAGCAGGAGAGATCCTAACTCTGTCCTTGTGTGCGTGTGGGAGACGGGGAGATATGAACAAGGCTTGTCGATGCATGGAAATGCTCGCTGAGGCGTTAATGTTGTCCTTGCAGAAGTATGATCTCCAAAATAATTAGTGTCTTTTAATTCTAGCTTAATTAAATTGATGATTGGTTTGTTCGTTTTGGCTCTGTAAAAGACGTCGTTACTTAACTTTCTTATGTGTGATACTGATGGTCATTTTTAGTTTCTCCTCCATGTAAGCTACTTAACTAATTATCTCCTCGACTTTGGTTGGTGTCTCCTTTATATTCTATGCAACTACTACTACTATCAAGGATTTAATAAATAAACAATTTGACAAGACTCGGCAAGTTCAAGTTTAATCTTTGACTAAAGTGTAATTTTTGCAGTGAAGAAGAAAATGATTTGTGTGAATCAAGGTACTGAATCTACTGATATCATCAATTCACTTTCAGTTTACAGATATACTTCTCTTCAAAATAGAAGAGAAAACAAGAACAAAACATGTTTTATTGGTACTTAATTGTTGTTTAAAATTTGTCTATCAAACTTAAAATAACTCTTTTTGACAGTTGTTGCAGAAATTTGCTGCAGGACTCACCACCAGCTCAGTCACTTCTCCATCTCAGTTTCCTGGCACCCTTGTACTGGAACTTGATTAGTTGCCTCTGAGAAGTGATGCCTTAAGGCTCGTTGAGGTTACTTCTTGATTCTGAAGTCTTTGTGGTACTCAATCTTGGTTTACTTCTGAAATCATGTAATTCAGAAGATTTTAATAGATCATGCGCTATCTATATTCTCATAGTATCTCCTCAGACAGGTTCTTAGAATCGTGATTCTGATTCACATTAAAGGCTTAGTCTTGACAATGTGTCTGATGCAGGTGACGCGGATGATTTTACGTCTAGCACCACTTTGGAGAAAAGACCTCATTTGATCCGTGGAATGGCTTCATGGAGTAGCATGATTCAGTTACCACCTTTAGGAGAACCTGAAGTGTCAGAGATGCTGCTGAAGATACTAGATGTATTGGAAACAAGGTTGTTTCAATTGTTTTAGTATTGGTATCACGATATATACCTGTTGAATGTTAATGAATCTGAGTTTCGTGTTACGATGATGAAAAAACAGGGTATGAATGTAATAAAACCTTTATTGACTGGATTGTATTACAAACTGAATTGTATTACAGAAACAGAGACTCGATCTCTATTTATACAAGTGAAACATTGTGTCTGTGTAATAACAAAGAGACATGACTCTTAATCTAAAAGACACAACTGTAAAACAAGACAACTTGTGTCTCTTGATCAAATAACTAACATATGTAAATGTGATAGACACAAGATTTGATTATACTCCAACATTGACATATTCTAGTTTCTTAGCTTCTCTAATTTCTTTCATTCTAGGTTGGGTTGCTTGCTGAACGATGAAAGAGAAAAACTGTATGCTGATGTGGTCAAGAAAAAGGTCTTGCTGTAAGATTTGCTAAAGAGTATAAGAGAGCAGATTCTAAGGAGATTACAGAAATTTTAAGAATAATTGCCTAGATCCGAGGCAGGTTCAGGCTAAGGATGTTGATTGATCTCATATCATCCTTGCCTGCGAACAGCTCTTGCAGCCATAGCTCGCAGGTTAGCTCTTGCTAGCAACATATTAGAAACCGATGAAGAAGAAGTTTCAGTCGTCGTTACGCCAACCGCAGAAGCAAACTCATGCCACTGCAACCGCCAGGCTAATGCAGCATCCCTATCTTGGTCTAACCTGTATGTTTCACACTTTCCAATTAGCGAATCCCTCTTTTTTCTCATTCAACACCTTGTATTACAATCTTACCTTTTCACAGGTTTCTTTCTGGTAACAAGTTTACAGGAACCATCCCAGAATCTCTTTCCTCCTTAAAATCTTTGTCTGTCATGTAAGTCTCTGTTGTCTCTGTCAACACCTCCATTGTCTACAGGTGATCAGCGTTTAAGACTTCTTTGGTCTTACAGGTCCTTGAACAATAACGTTTTGTCTGGCAAGATACCCGATGTCTTTCAAGACCTTGGCCTTATGATCAATCTGTAGGTTTGCTTTCTAAATCAGCTCTGTTAAGATTGTTTTCTGTATATATATGTAACCGAACATTCGACATATGCGTAGAGATTTGTCTAGCAACAATCTGAGTGGACCATTGCCTCCTTCCATGCAGAATCTTTCGACTCTTACATCCTTGTGAGTTTCTCCTTTGCATTCCATACACATAGTCTGTGTTGAGTAGGTCTTACTCAGTTTGTTGTTCTGATTTCTCATGCTTTCAGGCTTTTGCAGAACAATCATCTTTCAATAGAGCTTGATGTTCTTCAAGATCTTCCCCTCAAGGACTTGTAAATTCTTTGCCATCCCATCTTCTTTTCTGGTCAACTGTTATATATTTTTCCTTGCTTACTCTCTTCCTTATCAACTGTGCAGGAATGTCGAGAGCAACCTCTTCAATGGATCTATACCAGAAAAGTTGTTGGGTATACCAAATTTCATGTAAGCTGCAACAGTTTTCATTGCTCGTATCCAACCATATATCTGCAACTTTTTTGTCAAAGTATCAGCTGCTGATGTGACAAACTATGATGCAGAAAAGGTGGTAACCTGTTTAACGTCACTATTGCTCCATCGCCTTCACCTGATACACCTCCAAGTCCAACATCACCTACGCGGCCGTTTTTTGGACCACCATCTACCAATGCATCAACTGGTCATGGTCAGGCACATGTGAGATCACCCCCTTCTGATCACCCATCTCGACCAACTCCTCAAGGGGAAAAAGATTCATTTACCAGTAAAAGAATCATTTGGATATCCATTCTTGGGGCCTTTTCATTTTTGTTTTTGGCCTTGGTATGCGTACTTTGTGGGAGGAAATGTCTCAGAAGAAGAGAAGACAGTGAACAACTATCCAAACCGCACCTAACTAGTGAATATGGGAGGGCAAGGGAGGGTTCTCGCTCCAATGCTTCTATGCTTCCTCCATCCGATACATTCAATAAAGGTGAATCTCATATTTTGATTTCTCCACTTTTAGATGTCAAGAAAGTCACATGTTTGTTTTCTCTCCTTCAATGAAATTCAAACAAAAGACAAGGAGGCTAAACCAAAAGAGAGAATAGGGGGTGCTTCGAAGATGCAGAGTGGGGCAGAAAGAAGCGTAGGAAGTCTATCAAAGCAGGAGAGTCATGAGATAGACATGAATGGCAATGCTATGGATTTGATGTATCCCTCATCAATTCCACCTATCAAAAGGATCATCGCAAAGGCGACTGTACCTGCTGAAGCATCTCTAAAGAAGCCATCCAGTAAATCCTTTGGGCCCTTGACATCCGTGAAGCACTTCACGGTCGCATCTCTACAACAACACTCTCCCAGGAAAACCTTATTGGAACGGGCATGCTTGGGAGTGTATACAGGGCAGAGTTTCCAGGTGGAAAGGTATGCATTACATTATCCTTTTCTTTATGTGTATTCAATCTCCGCAACTGATAAGTTATTTTTCTCTTGGATAGCTTTTGGCTGTTAGGAAGTTGGATAAGAAGTCTTCCAATCATACAGAAGAAGGGAAATTTGTGGAGCTAGTGAATAATATAGATAGAATCCGACAAGCCAATATTGTCCAACTCGTGGGTTTCTGTTCTGAGCACAGTCAGAGGCTTCTGATCCATGAGTATTGTAGGAACGGTACTCTGCACGATTTGCTGCATACTAATGACAGGTTAATGATTAAACTATCATGGAATATCCGTGTTAGGATGGCACTAGAAGCTGCAAAAGCTCTGGAGTATCTGCATGAGATCTGTGATCCACCTAGTATTCACCGAAATTTCAAGTCTGCAAATATTCTCCTTGATGACGATCTGAGGGTGCATGTCTCAGACTGTGGCTTGGCTTCCATAATCTCCTCAGGTGCTGTTAGTCAGGTAAGCAAGAATCATGAGAAATCTGATTTGCTTGTCTCATAGGCCTTTGTATATGTTCCAGTCCAAGCTTGTTTGTGCGTGTTTTAGTTATCGGGTCAACTCTTAGCGGCCTACCGATATGGAGCTCCAGAGTTTGAATATGGGATCTATACAATGAAATGTGATGTCTACAGTTTTAGAGTGGTTATGTTAGAACTCTTGACAGGCCGCAAGTCATATGACAAGTAAGTGGAAATGAGGTCTTATTCATATGTATCTGTGGTTTGAACTTTTGTTCTTAAATAGAAAAGAAAACGTTGTGTAGGAAACAGGATAGAGGACAGCAGTTTTTGGTGAGATGGGCAATCCCGCAGCTTCACGACATTGATGCATTAGCGAAGATGGTCGACCCATCTCTCAAGGATGATTATCCAGCCAAGTCGCTGTCACATTTTGCTGATGTGATATCACGTTGTGTTCAGGTATAAGCATCACTAGAAAAGAATACAAATTTTCTTACACCTGAATTATTGTGTGCACTAGAGTATATTAACATCTATGTGTTGGGACAGTCGGAACCAGAGTTCAGGCCACTAATGTCAGAAGTGGTTCAAGACCTCTCAGACATGATCCAGAGAGAACATCAGAGAAATGACTCAAATGGGGATAATCAGTATGCAGGAAGTAGATAGTTTAAGGAGACTGTCTCTTATACAAAACAAGTATTATAGTATTGTTTCGAAAGTCGCAACCATTGTTCTTTAACGAAGCCTTGTTTGTATTATTGTATATGTAGACTGTGTGACACAGCGTACTCTGCTCTAGCCTTTAGTCTATCCACAACATTCCAATGTACTAACTTATCTCCACCGGATTAGGATTGGCAATCTCTGAGTTTTTTTTTCCAAAAATCCATAGTTATCTTATTACTAAAAAAAATGAATCTTTTTTTTTTCTTTTCTAAATAGCATTTGATCATATATTTCCAATTCTTCAAAATATGATTTATCTCTTTATTGAGGAGGTGTTATTGGTTTATATAGTTGTGGATCATCAATGACATGCTCATTACTATCCAGAATTAGTTTCACATTAGGATCCATCGGTATACGTAACGGTTTACAAGCTAGTAATCTTGTTTCTTCCAGCAATTCTAGCATGTACTTCCTCTGACAAACAGAAATTCCTTTTGCAGATCTTGCAATCTCCAGTCCAAGAAAATATTGCAAAGAACCAAGATCTCTCAGTTTGAAAGCTTTCTGTAAGTCAGTCTTCAAAGTACTTACTTCTTCATCATCATTTGCAACAATTATAACGTCATCAACGTAAACCAACACAGCCACATACTTGCCTTTAACATTCCTCACAAATAAAGTGTGATCAATATGTGATTTTTGGAAACCAAGACTCATGACAACAGAGCTAAACTTCAAAAACCATTGGCGTGAAGCTTGTTTTAAACCGTAGAGCGATTTGTGTAACTTACATACTGCATTTTGTGGCAAAGTATCTCATGGCTTAGATGTATATCATGGAGGAAGAGTTATATATATCTCCTCATGAAGATCGCCATTTAAGAACGCGTTAGAAATATCAAGTTGATGCAAACTTCATTTCTTGGCAGAAGCAACAGCTAGCAAAGTCTTGACTGTAGTCATCTTACCAACATGAAAGAAGGTATCAACAAAATCCACACCTTCTTGTCGTTTATAACCTTTTGCGACAAGCCGTGCCTTATAATGTTCTAAGCTTCTATCAGCATTAAGCTTTGTTTTATATACCCATTTTCAACCAATGGGACGTTTGTTAGGGGGTAAAGAACAGATGGACCAAGTATGAGTGCTTTCTAGAGCCATTAGTTCCTCATTGATTGCTTGGATCCATTCATCAAACTTTGCTTGATGAAAACTAGTTGGTTTTGCAAACTTTGTCATTGCACATATGTAAGCTTTGTAGTATTCGGTCAACTTCTCATAAGACATATAAGCCGCCAAAGGATGATGAATATCCGTCTTAATCAAATTACATGGTTTAGTATAAACCGGTTTGAATCAATTCTATTACTCTAATAATAATTTTGTAAAGTTTTCCGGACAATCTCTCTATTTAGATAATACTTTTCATGATTTTATTTTATGAAGAAAAATATATAAAATCATAAATCAATAACATAATAATTTAACTCATTAACAATCAGAGATTCTTTTGTTTTAGTTGAATAACAAAAAATTTATTGACTTTAAAAAAATTCTGAATCCAATAAGGCAATAAACCTAGATTTGTGAAGATTTTTTACAAATCAAAAACTAATAATAACACCAAACTTTAAAAGAGTTAAATAAAATTTTGATTGAATAATAACATATTATACATAACATTTAGACTCATTAAAACACTATATAAATCACAAACCAATAAGTATAACACCTCCTCAATTAAACAGTAATCTTTTTGTTTATTTTTTTGGCCAATTTTTTGTTGTTTTCAATGTGATGATGATGGTGAATTAATAGCAGTGTTCTAAAAAGCGGTCTAGGCGGTCGCCTAGGCCCCGACTAGGCGCTAGGCTCTCATGCGACGCCTAGATAACCGCCTTGACCGCCTAAAATTACATAGATCTTGTTTAATGTATTTTTCCAATTTCAATTAGAGTTTTATTTATATATATAGTTATAAATATTCATATATTGTTTAATATAAATATAAATAAATATTTTATCTAATTTTTATTTATAATTTCATAATTTTTAGTTTTATATAGATATTTTATATAACTTTTATATATAATATCATATTGATAATGTTTTATGTTATAAACGTCTAAACCGCCTAAAAATCGTCTAGGCCCCGATTAGGCGTTCTAGGCGCTAGGCACTGGGTCACCGCCCGCTTAGCGCCTAGCGCTTTCTTGAACACTGATTAATAGACAAACCAATGTTAAATGTTGTTTCGTTGGTTATCTCCTGGTTTAGAAAACCTGGTCTAACCCAGACGCGCCAAACACTTGCTTATTTACTCTAAACGCACTCTTTTAGTCTCTCTTTTCCCCAATTGCTTCATCTCCAATCGCTCTCGCTCGGTGCAATGTCTCGCTACCAGTCTCCTTCCTTTGATGACGGCGAGGTTAATCCTTTTGCGGTAAGCTTGATTCAATCTCATCAATCATCATCTAGGGTTTTGCCTGAATTGCATTGTTTCTGATCTGATTTCTCAGATTCTTTCTGTAACGTTTACGTAATGTTACTTGTATTTACTCCAATTCCTGGGATCGACTTTTCGGTTTCAATGCACAAGGAAAAAACGTAGTTGTTGATCGATTGATTGATTTACGCTTTCTTGTGTTCGTATGGTTGTTGGCTTTGTGATGTGAGTGTCTCTGGGAAGGGTGATAACAATTTTGAGTATGTAATTGCTTTATGTTTTCGCTCATTCTATGGTAGCAACAATTGTTAGACGCTGATGATCAATGTAATGCTCTCCAATTACCCAGGGATCTATACATTCCCTAATTTCAATTGGTCACAGCCTCAACGTGTGGCCATTGATACTTTTTCTGGTCTTGGATATGGTGTAATGAATGGTTTACTTACTTGCAATGGCTGTTACATATTCATATCAGTTTCTTGTTTATTGAATTGTTGTCTCTGATTAGGTCTCATAGATCTCCATCGTATAGCCTTTCCTCTTAACATTGCTCTTGCGCCTTAAAGACCATAACTGCTCTTGCTATAAGTATTCTTTACCCTCTTTTCTTGTATATGAACCTTCAGAATCCTACAAGTGTTCCAGCTGCAACGTCAAAGCTTTCTCCTCTTCCCCCTGAGCCGTACGACCGTGGTGCCACAATGGATATTCCTCTAGACTCTGGAAAGGTATTTCCTTCATCCACAGAAGCCTACGTACCAAGTGTATCTCAGAATAATCCCTGAGACAATTTTATGATTGCCAACTTCTAGGATCTGAAAGCTAAGGAGAAGGAACTCCGGGAAAAAGAGGCTGAACTGAAGAGGCGGGAGCAGGTAATCTGTGATTATATTTGAAACCAACTAATGTCACATACCCTGATGTCATTTCTCAAAATGATTAGCACTAGGTATTTAATTTTACCCGAACCAAGAATAATAGTTTTCATCTGACTGCATATCCTTTTAAGTGTTATATGGGCGAAAGCATATTTAGTGTGTCGCCTCGCTCTCGTATTATCTAATCTGTAAAGCATGGCCACAGTGGTTTGTAGCTACAGCCTTTCAAGTACATATCTTTCTGTCTTCTGAAATCTGTTGTGATATTTTCCAGGAAATCAAGCGGAAAGAAGATGCTATAGCACAGGGTATCTTTGTCAATTAAATCTTTTGTAGAAACCTGACATTTCGTTCCATGTGAAATGCTCATGCTGTCATCTTTATTTTGGTAGCTGGAATTGTGATAGAAGAGAAAAATTGGCCACCGTTTTTTCCTCTCATCCATCATGACATTTCAAATGAGATACCCATCCATCTGCAGAGAATCCAATATGTTGCTTTCACATCAATGCTGGGTATGTGTTTTCTCTTTCAAATGATCAACGCATCTGCAGTTGCAACAGAGGTGGATTTCTTGAATTATTAGTAAACAATCTTAACCTCTGTTTGGTAGGTCTTGTGGTGTGCCTGTTATGGAACATTGTTGCAGTTACCACAGCGTGGATTAAGGGAGAAGGTTAGTGTTGGAACAGCTAAAAGTTGCCAAGTAGACTGAGCCTGTATGATGCTAATCTACTGACTTATGTACTTTGGGTGTAGGTCCAACAATATGGTTTCTAGCTATTATCTATTTCATTTCGGGGGTTCCTGGAGCATATGTTATGTGGTATCGCCCTCTTTATCGTGCCATGAGGTATTCATACAACTTAAGATTGTTCTTTTAAATTATTGTACTATATCTGTTGCTGCGTGGTGTGTTCCTTTATTTAGAGGGAAAGCAAAAAAAAGTAAAGTTCCAGATAGCATCTTAGTTAAGAGTCAAAACTTGCATGAGATGAGAGTGAGATGTGGGTTGATTTGGTTGTGTGCAGGACTGATAGTGCTCTGAAGTTTGGGTGGTTTTTCTTCACGTATCTGGTAAGTTTTCCATTTGGTCTAGTGAACAATTTTGATGGTTTTGACACATCAAAAGGTGGAAGTGAGAGTAAAATAAATGCTGGTAACATGAATGCAGTTTCACATAGCGTTTTGTGTGTTTGCGGCGGTGGCTCCTCCAATTATCTTCAAGGGAAAATCGTTGACGTAAGTAACAAATTAGTTTCTAAATCACACAAAAAGAAAGAGGTGGAATCATATGTTGTTGTGTTTTGCAGAGGAATATTGCCGGCGATCGATGTATTGAGTGGGAATATCTTGGTCGGGGTAAGTTGAAAGCTTAGGTAGCGTATAACTTAAAACTGTTGTACTGTGGACTTTGTGATGGCTAACTTTGGTTTGGTGGGGTGGTGGCAGATATTCTACTTCATTGGGTTTGGGTTCTTCTGTCTGGAGTCACTCGTGAGCATCTGGGTTATTCAGGTTCTCTTCTTTGCTGCATCAATTATTCATTTTGATAAGTTAAAAAAGGAAGAAGTGGTTAACAAGTTGTTGTTGTTGTGTGTGTGGGAACAGCAAGTGTACATGTACTTCAGAGGGAGCGGGAAAGCAGCAGAGATGAAGCAGGAGGCAACAAGACGAGCAATGATGGCAGCTCTCTGACCACATACACACCTTTTAATCCATCTCCAATTTTTTCACATTTAACATACAAACAGTGAAACGTTAGATCCTCTCCTCTTGATGGGGATTGATTACTTACTCCGCCACTCACTTCTTTTTTTGTTTTCCTCCGATTTCATTTGACTAAGATCACAGTGAACTCAACTTCTTACTTACTTACTTTTTCTTATTAATCATCTTTCGAAGACGCTCCAAACAATGTCCACCCACAGACGCCGCTTTCAACGCATACGTGACGACTAACGTATGGGTGACCTTACAATTAGGCATCATTTCGTTGTTAAAATAATGGCTACGAGTGAGAAAGTCAATGGGTGTAGTTAATGAGGAAATGGGCTTCTGTAGTAATAAATAGTCAAGCAGTTGAGAGTGATAAGAAGATGTTGCACAAGTGGTGATTATAATTCAATGTCAGTTTTTGAATATTGAACAAAAGTCAATGCAAGTCAGCGAGCCAGCTGTATCTGTGTGTGACACGCGGCCCCGATCCGAACTGTTGGATAACTCCCAAACTGCTATAAAAGACACACACACACACACACTAGGCCTCATTGTCCCAACAAGACCTGAGGTAAAAAAACACAACAACAAGATTCAAGAAATGGCCATCTTCTGTTTCCTTGTAGACCAGAGGAAGCAAGTCCGGGGGAGAAAGCCGGCGGCCGGGTTATGCTCAAGATGCGGAGGAGGAGCAGTGGTTGCCGACATGAGAACCTCCACAAGATTCTGTGGAGTCCCTTTCTACCGCAAAGCTTGGAAAGCTATCGTCTGTCATTTCTGCGGTGCTGTGCTCAAATCTTACCACTGAGTCTGATGAACCAACGTTTTTTTGTGTTAATTCATTCGTTTTTTTTTTAATCAACAAGCTACTTGCCATTGTATGTCGCTTGATTGCCTACCTTTGACCCTAGCTAATGTTTTTGTTATTCATTTATCTCTGTTTCTGAATAAAACAAGTGATCCTTTCACTTAAAAATCTCAGTTTCGTCAGAACACTTAATAGGAAAAAGCAGAAAGGCCACATGAACGAAGGAATAATTCCCCAACTTGCTTGCTTATACAGCTTTCACCATTCAATGCTCTTCTCTCTCTCTCTCTCTTTTAGATCCCTCAAATAATAAAGGCAAATTATATTGGGCTGCTTATTATATGACCCAATAAGGCCCAAATTTTGTATTCATCGTCCATCATTACCTATACCCTAAAATCATTTTACGTCTCTCACGTCCATTGATTCTGCTGCTGCAATCAAATTCTATCGAACTGGTGAGTTTTGTTAAATCTCTTTCCTCGTTCGTCATTGTCAGATCGATCTCTATCCCGATTTAGCTTGTTCTTGATCTTTGTCAACTTAAAAAACAATCAAAACAAAGTTTCTTCTATGAGTTCCGGTCTGAACGAAGATTTCCTCGATTGTATCGTGCGTTTAGAGGAGACACACATTCAACAAGGCTTCGATGAGGGTTACGAAGAAGGTCTCGTGTCGGGTCGTGAAGACGCTCGTCATCTGGGTTTGAAACTCGGGTTCGAAACAGGCGAGCTTATTGGATTCTACAAAGGTTGCTCTGTTCTTTGGAATTCAGCTCTCCGTATTGATCCCACTCGCTTCTCTCCTCTGCTCCATAAGCATCTCAATGATTTCCATGTCTTGCTCGATAAATTCCCGCTTTTGGACCCCGAGGGCGAGGCCAAAGACGGGATTAAGGATGATCTCAGACTCAAATTCAGCATCATTTGTGCATCTCTCGGCATTTCCAAGAAACAATTGGAGTACAAAGGATACCCTAATCCTTCCTCCAATCTCGACTTTTAGGACCTACCTCCATAAAAACACTCTTGTATTGTATGTTTGGCTTTCAAGTTTCTCTCTTTTACCCCAAAGTTTCTCTCTTTAAGAGGTGTGTGTAGACAGACAATCTATGTGTTATTATTGGCTTGTCCTTTTTCCTGGACTTGTGAATGCTGACCACAAATCTATATGTGGTGGACAAATGTCATAGCTTATTTTTTAGCCTTATAATGAGCACACAAACTCACATCTGTACTTATATATGTATAGGTGGTCGGAGGAGATGTTGAGAGAAATGCTTGGTTGTTGCAAGGTTTACATATCTGAAGCGCGGAATAAGACCGCCCTCGAAGCTATTGAGAGAGCTGTAAAGGCTTTTCCACCAGTTGCAATCGTCAACAAGTTTGAAGATGCGGCTTATGGTAGGGTTGGTTACACTGTTGTATCCTCGCTTGCTAACGGGTCATCTTCTTCCTTGAAGAATGCGGTGTTTGCTATGGTTAAGACTGCTCTCAACACTATTAATCTTGAGTTGCACTGTGGTACCCATCCTCGGCTTGGAGTGGTCGACCACATATGTTTTCACCCCTTGTCTCAAACCTCTTTAGAACAAGTTTCTTCCGTTGCCAATTCCGTAGCGATGGATATCGGCTCCATTCTTCGAGGTCAGTACTTAATAGAAGACCTCAGTCATAAACATGTGAATTCCTGAATTTTAAAAGATACTTACCAAGCTAAGAGCAGAACATTGTTTGTATTGCGGCAGTTGATGTGTACTTTGTGATAGGCAGAGTGATGTCCTCTTTTTATTATCTCATTATCTCTAGGCCATAGAACATGGAAGTCTTTGTAGAAATGCTTTGTTCTCTACTCTTATCAAGATAAGAAACATAGCATTGTTTGTATGCTGTACTTTGTGCTAAGCAGAGTGATGTTCTGTTTTTATTGTCTCATTATATATAGGCCAAAGAACATGGAAGTCTTTGTATTAATGCTCTGCTCTCTGCTCTCTGCTCTTATCAAGATAAGAACAGAGCATTGTTTGTCTGCTGTACTTTGTGATAGGCAGAGTGGTGTTGGTGTTCTGTTTTTATTATCTCATTATCTCTTGGCCACAGAACATGGAAGTCTTTGAAGCAATGTTCTGCTCGCTGCTCTTATCAAGATAAGAATAGAGTATTGTTTGTATGGTGTAGTTGGTGTGTACTGTGATAGGCAGAATGATGTACTGTCTTTAAAATCTCATCTTCGTCTAAGCCATAGAACATGCAAGTCTTTGTAGCAATCTCTATATTGATATATGGACTGAGATATATGACCCACCCTTGTGCAGTTCCTACATATCTCTATGGAGCAGCAGAAAAGGAGCAGTGCACGCTGGATTCGATCAGAAGGAAGCTGGGGTACTTCAAGGCGAACAGGGAGGGACATGAATGGGCAGGTGGATTAGAGCTGGAGATGGTGCCGGTGAAGCCAGATGCAGGGCCACAAGAGGTGAGCAAAGCCAAAGGGGTTGTAGCAGTTGGGGCGTGTGGGTGGGTGAGTAACTATAATGTGCCTGTCATGTCAAACGATCTCAAGGCAGTGAGGAGAATGGCGAGGAAGACGAGCGAGAGAGGAGGGGGCTTGGCTTCAGTGCAGACAATGGCGCTGGTACACGGGGAAGGAGTCATAGAGGTCGCCTGTAACTTGTTGAATCCAAGCCAAGTGGGAGCAGATGAAGTTCAGGGACTGATCGAGAGGCTTGGCAGAGAGGAAGGTCTGCTTGTGGGAAAAGGCTATTATACGGACTATACACCCGACCAGATCGTTCAAAGATATATGGACTTGCTCAGTAATTCATAAATTTCAAAGTAAAAATTAAAAACAGTACGATGTTGTCATTCTTAGAACGTATTATTACCGACATCAATCATTTATCTTCATTTTGTGTTTAGATATGTTATACATTGCTTTGAGTAAAAATTGAAATTAGCAAAGATCAAATAAAAAAGGTGAAACGATCAAACATGAAATCATTGAGGCAAAAACATCAAATCTCATCATTGGTGTTTTGTCTTAACGACAACTGCAAGAGATTTGGTTTGTGTAGCCATGCCTTATTGCCTTAGTTCTTAAACCTGATTTCTTTGCATTTTGCCTTACTTTGCATATCTATATGGCAATGCATGCAAGTCATCAACTAGTGTATAATGAGTTATTGGTAGCATCGTGACCATGTAGTAATTAACATCTCTATCCTTCAAATTCTTATATATATAAAGATTGTGGTCTATATGATTTGTTAAAAATAAAAAGACAACTGTTTTGATATATATAGTGGGTCGTAGGTGAAATTTTGAGGGTCAAAAGTCTCTAAAAACAACGTGGATGAGGTGGAGTTTGGTGCGGCTCATTATTGACTTGAGTTCTTCTTGGTCATTTTTTGGGTTTGCAACAAAGGGAATGAGGTAATGGTATACTACCTCTCTTTCAAATTAGTTATCGTTTAAGAGTATTTTACATATATTAAATAAAAACATTTCATTTTTTTTTGTTTTATTCCTAATTAATGTGTTTTCTTTATATAATCAACTAATAAGTTAAAAGATCATGAATAAAATTAGAAAATCGGTCAAAACATACATTGAAACATAAAACGACAACTAATTTGAAACAAAATTTAATTTCTAAATGACAAATAATTTGAAACGGAATGACTATACGACAACTAATTTGAACCAAAATTTAACTTCGAAATGACAAATAATTTGAAACGGAAGGAATATACATTATATATGTACTTTTTAAAAATGTAACTTATGACATGCCTACACACATTGACATAGACAATTAAAGTTTAGGTGTGTCTTTGTATATGTGTATACATGTACATACATATGTATGGGCACATTGGAGTTGGGCCGCAATGGAGAATAAGGACACAGATGTGACTGTCATATACCTAACTCTAAGGAAAAAGCATTATTTGTGTACATAAATGGTAAACCCATGAAACCTTGATTTATACAGAGACCTCAAAAGTCAGAAAGAAAGAAAGTAAAGAGAGAAGAGGTAATTTAATTTCTATGGGTTTAGAAAACAGCTTTACTTAATCTCTTCTCTTTTTTCATCAACCAACCATATATGGACAATCACAACAATTACAAAACACACATCTATATGTATGAACGTTACGTAGATAATATTCTTTTAAAACTAAAAGATTCACAATTCCCATGCCCCACGACTTGTATTTTTCTTTGGCCACCTAATTTGCATCCATCATCTCTCTGTCTCTATAGAGAGTTTCTTTCAAATCCCCTAAAACCTAGAAAAACACCAAAGTCTCTCTCTCTTTTTTTGTTTTACTCCAAAAGCTTTTAACCTTTGAGATTTTGCTATATAATTATCAGATCCTTCGTTACTACTGATGCTAGCTCCTTTAGGGCTTTTGCTCTTTTACTCATGTCAAATTACCTTCTTGTCCCTTGGTGTTTAGGGCTCTAATCCTATATAATACTTCGTAGGAAGAAGCTCTTCGTCGTTCTTTACTTTTGTCCCGATCGGAGATGGAGAGAGAATGTGGGTCCAAGGAACTGTTCAGCAAAGAGGAGCTGCAAGAAATAAGTGGAGTCCATGTGGGAGACGATTACGTCGAGGTGATGTGTGGCTGCACCAGCCACCGTTACGGAGACGCCATTGCGAGGCTTAAGATATTTTCAGATGGAGAACTTCAAATCACCTGCCAATGCACTCCCGCTTGCCACGAAGGTTCCTCTTCTTATCTCTCACTTCTTTTTTATATGCATGTTTCATGTGAATACGTGAGATTACCTAGCTCTACAACTTTGTTTGCATCATCGCGGTTATATATGGATATCATGATAGTGTCAAGAATGCAATGCAACTGTCTCTTTGGCCTCGATGATGAACTAAGGCTGCTTTTATTTGCTAGATGCAATATGTTTCACATGCAGTCTTTTAAAGCCTGGCATAATCTTACATTGTCATGTATCTCCATTTTAAATTTACATGTTCGAGTTTCTTTCAAAGTGATCTTGACAGCTTTGATTCTATGATGGTAGACAAGTTAACGCCTGCTGCCTTCGAGAAGCATTCTGAGAGAGAAACCTCTAGAAACTGGAGGAACAATGTGTGGGTGTTTATCGAGGGAGACAAGGTTCCACTTTCAAAATCAGTGTTGCTCAGATACTACAACAAAGCATTGAAGAACTCTAACGTATCGAAAGTCATTCATCGGGATGAGTTTGTTGGGTGCAGCAAATGCGGGAAGGAGAGGAGGTTCAGGTTGAGGAGCAGAGGTGAATGCCGGATGCACCATGATGCAATAGCTGAGCCTAATTGGAAGTGTTGTGATTATCCATTCAACAAGATAACATGCGAGGAGGAGGAAGAAAGAGGGAGCAGGAAAGTGTTCAGAGGGTGCACTCGATCTCCGTCTTGCAAAGGCTGCACGTCTTGCGTCTGCTTTGGTTGCAAGCTCTGCCGTTTCTCTGATTGTAACTGCCAGACTTGCCTCGACTTCACCACCAACGCCCAACCCATTTGACTTCATCTCTCTAACTTCTTTAATTCTTCTGCAAAACCTTGTAATGTATGGTGGATGCTCTGCATTTTCTTTAATCAGTAGCTTGTTACACCTGTTATGTGACTGGGGAGACCAAGTAGGAAACACAAACAACTGAAAAAAAAAACGACTTGGGCTTGGAGAGCAAATTTAGCATCACTACGAGAACATGCACCTAATCTAGTTTCAACCTTTTAACCTCCCCAAATACTACACAAGGCCAGAGATCAATAACAAGAAGCAAGCAGTGACGGTCTGACAGTAATAGTATGCTGAAGAAACTATGTCAAGAATAAACGCATGAGACAAGAGCAACTACAAACATTTGGATCAGACAATATGTACTTGGAAGGTGGAAGACACATGGCCAGAATTACCTCCAACAAAATTTGATATCCAAACCAGACAAATAGAATGGAAATAAATCCAAAGCATAAATCAACATACGCAGAGTGAGACAATGTTTTCGCTTAAATCCTGTCTGTTTGAAACATAGGATATTATGAAACACAAAACTATCAAGAATCATCCATTGCAGACATCATCAGATCTCAAAAGTGATGCAAATTATTTTCAAAAGGAAACACAAGACCAGTCACAATCTGCTAAAAGGGAAAACAAAGTGCATGAGAATGAGAGGTCTCTCCATAAAAGGGTCTTCCAAGTGACAATGAAACTCATTGTGTACTCTCCACAGGCTCCTGCAAAGATTAAAAACCAAAAAAAAAAACCCGCATAAGGGAAGGAGCACGAAGCCGCTTTCCGATGTAAGAAGAGCAAGAGCAAGAGCAAGTACCTCTTTTTTTCCCCCGGTGGCGAGTTTGTATCCACTGTAGAAAAGTAATCCCCAGCCAGACAGAGAAATAAGCACAAACTGCAGATTGGTCAGGTATTTTGTGTCAAACACCAAAAAACACAGCTTTAATTAACAAAACACATGATGATGATACACATACATGCTCCTCTTTCCAGTTTCCTGGGTTCGTGGGCTGTTTCCAGAAGTCAACCTTGGTAGATCCATGGTGATCTGCACAGTACACACAAATACACAAATTTGCTCAAAAACTCAATTCTTATTTAAGATAATACAGTGATTCAATTCCAGTGATAACAAACAATAGATTACAAAATCTTCACAAAGTTGTAACATTTGGTTCGTGAAAACACGAATTAGACATACAATGTGCGAAATAAGCTATGCGTCCTAAAATTGATACCGAAACAATCGTAGATTTCAAAGCAAATGTCGAAAAGAGAAAAAAGGAGAGTTACCAGCGGCGCCGGCGAGACAACGACGCTGACCAATAGAAGAAGCTCCAGGGGAAACACGAGCAGATGGGATCTGATGAGCTAAGCTCATGGCTCGGCGAGCGAAGGACGCCATCGATCTCGACTTCTGATTTAGGGTTTTCTTGAGGATCTGAGAGGCTCCCAAATGTTTCCAGGAGATTGATTGATTGATGAAGGTAAGAGAATCAAGTGATACCCGAAACTTTAAAGAAATGTCGTTTCTGCTTCTAAACGACGTCGTATTGTGCGTTTTGGTTGGGAAACACCTGAAAACCTCCTTCTCCGGCAGAGGCTTTTGTTTTGTGGACTTTTTTTTTTTTGACTCTTAGCATTTTTCATCTCTCTGTTTCTCATCAATTCTATATATGTACCCAGAAAAAAAAAAGATCTTTAGTTGTATTTTTGAATTCTACTACCATGTTTTGAGTCTTTAACATCAACATTATCATTAGGTAAACAAAAAAGACATTCAATAGATCGATAGAGAGAAAAATAAAGCCTTAAAACTCATAATAAAAAAAAAAAGCTAGTGCTTGAGTTTTATGTAAAAGGAAACTAAGAGTCTTGTTATAAACCTTAAATTATTGATCTTGTCAAGTCTTGTTATCAGCAACAACATCCTTAGTTAGACTTTTTTTTTCTTCATTCGTTTGGGTGCGGCAAAAGAAACCTCTTCTATCTTCATGTCTTTGAATTGTTCATTGTCTTCAATAAACTTAGTGACGTCCTTGAAACACTTTAGTCTCTTTCGTTTAGGAGCTTCTGTTTGGTAATAAACATCGGCTTTCTCGCCGCTTCGTCGAACAACCAAAATCCTCTTCAACCCTTGAGGGGTTTTGGGTATACCATGTCGATCTTGAAACCAACGCACAGCAGGGGAATCAAAGTTCATATCCACATCTCCAGGTTCTTCACAGCTCCTGCATTCAAAAGACTTATTCGGTGTTTCGCTTCGAATATCCTCGTATTTTTCTTGGGACTCTACATATCTCACTTTGAGACACTTCCAACATTGTGCAGCGTATGAGTCGATTAACGTTGTCATTGGTTATTGCTACCCACATGAGATCAAACAGAGATTAAGATTCTTACAAAACAAATCTTCATGCAATGATAAAAGAAATTAAACGTTTTTGATACCTTGTGGGCTTGAGTCGTCTTCACAATATTCCAAGTTTTGATGAAGATGAAGAGTTTTCTTTGTGGTTTGGCTTTTTGGTTGAAGTGAAGAGGTTTCGTTTTACTTGATAAACTCCCGAGTAAAAGTCTTAAATTGCAATAGCATTTAAGTGTGGCTTTAAAAGCCTTATATAAGTAGTATCTAATCAAGTTATAAGTAAAACATGAAGGAGAGAGTAATTTCAATTTGATTTTGCATGTACTTTCTCTAAGGCCATACACATCGGTACATCTTTTGGTTGGGTGTTAGAATTTAAAAATCCAAAATAATTAGAATAGTCCACTTTTATGTATATCCGAGTGTTAAGTTACACTCTTTTCTTGGAGAGTGTTAGCGCCACAAGGGCGCGTTTTGATTGGATAATTTGTTAGCTCCGTGTTCCCACGCGTTCCCACAACGTAGATAATTTGTTTATTACGCTTCACCTTTTTATTTTACATATACTCATTTAAAGCCAATACTTTTGTCTTACATTATTTTAATAATTAATCACTTTTAAGACATATCCTTGCACTTATTCCATTGCTCATGCTCTAAGAAGAAGAAAAACAATGCTTTAATGAGAATCAATGTTGATATTTGTGAGAGAGATTCATGATTTGGACGGTTGAGATGCATGTAGGTTAGGGCTAGCCTTGCATCATCAGGTAGTAGGACTGCGTGTATAGGTTGTCTCGAGGACACACGTTTTAGTTACCCCAACCCCAGATAATTTCAGGTTCCGGTTCTTATTAGAAAAAAAATATGCAACCGAATAAAATCCTATAACGTGGGTGAGGGTGACCACTTAATTTGGTGTCAAGCAATGAAAAAGCTCATCATTTATAACAATACTGATAAATACGCATTTTGAATGTAAGACAAGCATACATATAAAAGTTTATGAGTTAATTAAATTATTCAATTAATTTTGGTTTAAAATTTTAAATGATGTGGAAATATATAAGAAAGCAAAACCATATATAATCCATTCTTCGTTTCTTCTCTCTAGTATAACTCTTTGCAAATTGCGAGTACCTCATGTTAATGGACATGTATATGTTTTGACAAAAAAAAAAAAGAAACTGTAAAAATATTTGTCTTGAAAGACTTCGTTTCATCTTTCACTTTAATTTATTTAATTTTTTGGTCAAAACTTTCACTTGTTTATTTATCAGAAATTTAAGTATTTATCTCACCAAATTGTATTTGGATACATATGCAAATATTGCTGAACTTGCTACAAAAGAGAAAAGGATTTGATTATGTATAGAAGAAGTAATGTTTATGCACCTTTAATTAGAAGCAATAATCTTTTGCACATAATCCAAGCCGGTGAATTACAGGTTTAGATAGAGGATGAGTGTGTTTAATTGAGATAAATCAATCCATCAATTTTGTAATCAAAGATATAGTTATAACATTTACAAATCCTATCATTCCTTAATAACATTATACAACATCTTCATCAACAAAAAAGAAAGATATTGTTGCCCAAACAAATAAAAAAGATACAACTACTTATTACGCATGGAATAAATTAACGAGTGGAAAACAGTTTCTTTTCCTCACAACCTAACAAAAGAAAGATTCCTTTGAAACATTTTCTCAAACTTCCCATAGACGAGCCCTAACACCGAGCTTGAAACAAACATACACATCTATTGACGCCTGAAGGATCTGATCTTCGCAAAGGTCGTAAACGCTCCAATCACTCGTGCTTACCTCGGGATCTAGCCTCACTCCTCGATAACCCATGCATTCTTCAAAAATCTCCTCAAACGAACAACCCCTCAAGCTCCCTCTTGAACCTTCAACAAACCTCCTTATGTCCAAAAGTTTCCCAATCTTCAACTGATGTCTACACTGCTCTAGCTTTGTCGCGTCTTGACTATTCCACACACCAACGTGCGTGTAACTCGCGAGAAAGTTGTGGAGGGCATAGGGGACGTGGTCACAGTGAGAAAGCTGGATGATTATACATCGTGTACCAACGCATAACTGAAGAGTATCCGCTGGACGATTGTAACTCTCAGGCGGAGGGTCAGCGTAGTGACCAGGCAGTGTCCAATAGACGCCGAGTCCAACAACAAGAGGGTGAGAGGTAAAACGGTTGAAGAAGTGGACGTTGTTGATCCATTTTCTGATTACCGATGGAGTTCGCGTTACGTTGACGATCAATTCCTCTCCAAAGAAATCTACAGAGTACTCTTGGTGAGTATAGTAATTTCTGATGGTTGATATACTCGGAGCCATTTTTATTTTGCATGTACGTAATTTCTTCAAGCTAAGGAGAGAAGATAAAATGCATTCAGATGGTACTAAAATTGTACTATTATGTATTGTTACTCTTTAGTGTCGTACTCTAGAATCACCGTTGATCTTTGTGAGATAGATTTACAGGTGAATTTTGGACGGTTGAGAAGGATGTAGGTTAGGGCTAACCTTTTGTATCATCAGGTAGTATGACGTCGTGCATAGGGCTAGCTTGTCGAGGACACGTGTTTCAGACTCAGTCAACCAAATTAAACCCCAAATGTTATTACTTGTTTTGCAGCCAATCAAACCCTAAAACGTGTTGAACACTTTATTTGGTGTCAAGCAAAGGAAAAAAATAATCATTATAAAAATAGTGATAAATGCGCATTTTGAATGAAAGGAAAACATATTTTAAAACCTATGAGTTAAAATTATTCAATTTTTATTATGTGGACTTAGCATATAATAAGGCAAAACCTATCTAATCTTCATTTCTTCTCCTTTTTCTCAACAAGGTTTTGGCAAAATCGATTCAACCCCAAAATCAAGGTGAATCATCATCAACTTCTGTAGCAAGTTACCATATGAAATGCTTTCCTACGCCGTACACAACTTTCTCTGCCTCTGTTCATGGATTTGCCATGGACCTCCTTAATCATAAACTCTAGCACTAGACGATCTATTACTCTGCCCAAGATTTATTCTCAGAGGAGAGATATGTACCACTACTTAGATTATGATCCCATTCATGGTGATTACAAAGTTTTGTGTATGACTAAAGGAATGAATATTGGTTGGCGACGTGGTTTAGCTGAGGACCTTCGGGTTTTGACATTGGGAAATGGGAGCTCTTGGAGGATGATTGAAGATTTCCCTCCTCACGCACCTGAGTCTCTTGATCTATGCATTGATGGTGTGTTATACTATGAAGCTTATCTTGACACATATCCGGCTTTTCTCGACGAAGATAAAGCAGTCATGAGTTTTGATGTTAGGTCTGAAAAGTTTCATCTTATAAAAACACCAGAAACCGCTCTGTTTACAAAGCTGACACGCTACGAAGGAAAGCTTGCTATCATGGGCTCTGAATCTACTGGACTTTCTACATGTAGAATTGATATGTGGGTTCTAGTGGACGCTGCGAAACATGAATGGTCGAATAAGGTTTTTGTTGTGCCGTGTTGGAACACTGAATCATGCATCTTTTCAAGTCTTTTGTCTCACGGATGCAGGTGAGTTTGTTTTGGCACCAGAAACAATGTTTCATGAACCACCATTTTATGTTCTCTATTATGATCCCAAGAAAAATGCTGTGAGAAGATTCTTCATAGAAGGAATCACGGAACTAAAGCTTTTACGGTGGGATAGTCATTTGAACCGTCGTGTAATCTCTATCTTCCCTGGTCAGGTTGAGAACCTCATGTTTCTCTAAAGAGTGCTCGCTCGTTGTTCAATAGACTAGAAGACGGTAGTTTCACGGGTTTTCGTGATCATCATCATGGAAGCGTTTGTTCTTAATTCAGTTGTAGTTTAGTTTCGTCTTGTTACTTGGGATGTTACATGACCTTTGTCTTTATTGATGACAGTTTGTTTATGTTCATATATAGTGTCTGTTTTGCCTCGTATTGCTTAGTGTTTAATGTCTTTAATGTTCATGTAGTCTCTCTGTTTTGAACTTGTGTATCACTCTTTTAATTTTCTCGTAATCCAAGTCCACGGCATCAATAATGTTTCTAGAGGGGACGAAGAACTCATCTTGCAACAAGTGGGGAGAATATCTGACAAGGACGAACGTGACATGATTGAGTTTCAACAAGTCCACGAGGCTGCAAGGAAGAGTGGTTTGAATTTTCCACTTTCAAAGTTCTATAACTTACAAAAACAAGAAAAAACTTTAAGATTGTTATTGTCAACAACGTAGCTTGTAATGAAAGACAATTCAGATTCTTGGCTTGACTCACATAAATTTACATTTTAATGTTCTTATTACGAGACCTAATCACAGACAACAATCCAATGAACAAGAAACTGATATGAATAATGTAACAGCCATTGCAAGTAAGTAAACCATTACACCATATCTAAGACCAGAAAAAAAGTATCAATGGCCACAAGTAAGCACTAATAACTGAAATCGAAAATATGTAAGCGATAGATCAATTTATATGCAACGTCTTCACTACTAGTCCATCGGGGATAACTAAAATCAGAGATCAGTGGACAAGAAAGATAAAACATATATGAATAAAAAAGGCACTTACACGATAATTTGATTGTCCTGATCCCTTCTTAGTGGTAGTTACCACTGAGATTAATAAACAGTTGAGGCTATGACACATCAAAGAGTCAATAGAAACTAAAATTATATTGATAAATCCGCAATACTCCAAAATGAACTCTTTTTCAAGAGTCAATAGAAACTAAGTTGATAAATCCGCAATATTACAAAATGAACTCTTTTTCAAGAGTCAATAGAAACTAAAATGAGAAAAAAGCCGGAGTTCATGGCAAAAAAGGCAGAACCAAAAAAACAAAAGAGAATTCCATATATATCTAAGCATTTGATGGAAATGCTTCAGCCATCTTTGCTACCACTTCATGAAGAAAACCGCTCTTCTGCGAATAGAACTCGAATTCCCTAACCTGCAATGCTTTCCACTTCTCCTCGAATCTCTTCTTATCCTCTGAGGCAAGGCAACTCAATCCTTGTTGAGCAGAAAATTCATCAAAACCAAAACTCACTAGCCATCTTACAAGAGAAGACTTGGGAAACGTATCCAGATCCGCGGCACCCTCGTTCTTACCATTGGGCAAAGAAGAATCAAGCTCATGGTTCACAGACTCAACTTTCTTCGACTTACTACTCTTCTTCGACTTCCCACTAGATTTCACAGCTGATTCAATAGCTCCCCAAACAAACTTAGACAATTCAAAAGCCTTGCGATCATGAGTTTTTACAAACGTAGGTTCATCACCACTCTTGGCTTTAACAAGATTGTTCTCATACTTCTTCCTTAAATTCCTAAGTTTTTCCATGAACTGAACCTTAGAGACATCAAAGCTAATAGATTTCTTCAACAACTCATAAACCCTATTAGTATCATCATAAGGACTTACCCCAGTATCGTTTCTGAAATCAATAAGACCTTGTAAAACCGCAATCTCATCATCTTCAGTCCAAACACGTTGGAAATAAGCTTTCTTCGTTTCTTCTCCTCCACCACTCTTTTGCTCTGCTTCCCCTGAAACCTTCTTGACCCTCTTCACATCAGTAGAGGCTCCTGCTTCATCGGTTTCACGAGAACGCTTTGAAACAGATTTCTCAGAATCTTTCACCTTCTTGGAATCTTGATTCTTCTTCAAGACAGAATCTTTGGCTTCGGTTACAAGCTTCACTGGCTTAGTCACAACCTCATCTTTCTTCACGGGTTCTTCGGAGTCGGAATCAGTTTCTTCTTCATCTGATTCAGATCCAGATTCGGAATCAGAAACTTGCTTCTCCGTGGCAACGACTGGCTTCTTCATCACGGCTGATGATGGGTTTTTAGAGGACACAACATCATCTTCTTCATCCGACGAAGAGTCTTCACCTTCTCTGATTGGAGTCTCCACTTCATCTTCGTCGCTTGAAGAAGCCATCGGCGTATTGAAACGTTTCTGAGACATGGATCGATATATTTAGGGTTTCTGAAGTGACTTTTGAGACTGAAACCTAATGAGATTTTGCTTTGCTTTACCACTTCTTTAGGGTTCCTTTATATAATAGAACAAAGCGTCTCTCTATTTTCTTTTTTTTTTTTTCCCTCTTTTTCATGACTTTTGGATTTCCCATTTTTATTATTTCTTGGTAAATTACGTAAATCGTTCAAAATAACTGGGCCACGCTTTGGCGGAGTAATCATCATCAGCTTTGAAACTAGTGTTTTATGTCCTTAATGTTTATGTAGTCTCTCTCTGTTTTGAACTTGTGCATGACTCTCTTTTCTCGTAAATCCAAGTCCATGGCATCAATAATGTTTTTCGAGTGGACGAAGAACTTATCATGCAACGTGACATGATTGAGTTTTAACAAGTCCACGAGGCTGTCTCTCAATCTCTCTTTGGTCAAATCTATTTTTTTGTGCAATTAATCATGGGAGAGGACACTACGCATGGCTTCTTGACTCTGCTTATTGCAATCAAAGCTAGCTGACGGCACAATTAGCCCTTGTAAGCCTTGACAAAAAGCTGATAAATGAGCACTTTAAACTTGGGTACAGAGAAAATTCCATAATAGATTTAAAGTTAAGGGGCTTTTTGTTTTAAGCCTGTCAAAGGAATTCTCTGCAAATAAGTCAATTGAATCTTGAGTTACAAACCTTTATTAAAAAACCAGAGACGCAAAGCTTTGACAAGGGGAAGCAACAGTCCTAGTATTACCGAAGTTTTATATCGAAAGTCTGTTTGTTTTGAATCAGGAAGCAACACTTCAAGCTCCTCTCCTGCATCTGTGTACATCCCAAAATATGATCAGAAAACAGAAACATATCAGATCAGGTATTCATATGTTCATGCACACACAATCTTTGTACCTCTAACTCGGAAATCATTCTCAAAAGGTCATGGCATTGCTCCAGCATCAGTTTCTCTTGTGTGGCCACTTCCGCTAGTTGGGAAGCAAGTGGAACAATACTCTCCATCTGCTAATGGAACATTATAGGTTGTTAAACCGCTTAGATACACGATTATCATGTCACATTTGTTTGCACAGCCGAAAAAACCTACCGTGGGAGCATAAATATTCACAGTTGAAATGATAGCATCAGTGACTGTTTCTGCATTCTTAAACAAAGTGACAGCTGATTCCAAGTTCACCTGAATCCTTAGGAGTTGTTGGAAAATAAAAGAGACAAGAAAAAAAAGTTGTTTTGAGTTCAAAAAGTTAGCAGAAGAGCATGATTTGATTTACCTTTGCACCTTCTTTGAGGGGAAGCCTAGAAAGAACAGAATGCAGGGAATCTCTGGTCATGGATAGAGATGAAAGGTGTTGTCTTTCCATGTCCTCCCAAGCTTCAAGATGCTTAACCTGTTTCAGATATATTTCGTAACAATCCGGTTTATACTTGCTTATATCCTCCATGGCTTGGACTTAGTAAATGGGTTTGGACCTGATACTTACTTGAGAAAGAAGCACATAAATCAGCTTCATCTCCAGGTTTTTCTTCTGCAGTTTGATTCTCTCTTGCAGAACCAAATGTTTTAACTTGGTAAGAGTATCCCATGCACAGAGTAGTTGATTCTGCAAAAGGTGTTCCCTTTTATTTGATTTCATGCCTCAAAAGGATGAAGAAAGCAAAGATCTCAGGATTATGTGAAACTCAATAAAGTGACAAGCATGAGAAGAAGTGATGACCGCAGTAGCAGGGAGTAGAAAATCATTACCTTTTCTTGGGAGGCTACGATATTGCTTGCAGCAGAGGCTCTAGCATTGACAAACCTCCATTGAAGCAACCGGTTATTCATAAGCTTCAGCTGATGAGCAGATTCTGTGTCACATGTCTTTGGTTTTAGTGGTGAAGTAAAGGGCGATGACTTGTTCTTGCTGCTGAAGAAATCGAAACCAAGGTTGATTAGTTTACCCACGCCTTTGCCTCTTGGAGGCTTCAGTTTTGAACTTGGAACTGTCACTGCCTGGGTGTCCAATGACCTTCCTGGTGAAAGTGCCCACTGAGACATCGAACTTCCATACCTGGACACTGAATTATTCCTCTTCATCCTATTCTCAATGCCCCTAAAGCTATTAGCTCTCTGTGAATCTTCTTGTGACCTTATTTTGGTCACATTGTTGTTGCCTTTGCTCGGTTTAGCTGTTAAATCATGCAGATACTTAGAAGAGACCTTGATACCAGGATTATGGTTCCGGGATGAACGATTTGTACTAAGACTTGAAGCACAGGACACATCGCTCAACTCTGAATCTGATTCATCATTTAAGGACTCATATAGTAGAGAGCATGAGTTTCTCCTTGATGATGCTCTGTACAATGTACATTCATCAACAGAAAATCTGCCAGGAAGTATGACATGATCCTCATCATCCATCCACGGTGAAGGCCTACGATTTTCTTTTGAGTCAACTTCTATGCTACTTTGGTTTGGTAACCCGAAACAAACCCGTGTGCCATCTGACATCCTATCATGCTTTTTCAGGCCGAGATGAACTTTCAGACCGTTGTTGTTCTGATCATCTCTCTTGGTAGATGAATTAGAAGTGGAGTTTCTGCGGTTAGGAGAAGAAAATGCAGACGGAGAGGAGAGAAAACGTGAACTTAACTCGCGGGACTTTCCTCTTCTTGGTTTGAGTAGATGCTCACAGCTCTTCATTGTTACTCTGCTACCTGAGAGAAAGATAGAGAAGGAAGCTTGTCAATCTTATAAGATAATACAGAGAATCATTTTTAACTTTCAAAAAAAGAAACAATCTTTTGAAATAGATGAGTTAGTTGCCAACATTATAGGGTTTATTGTTATTCAGTTGAAGTTTGAAACATAAAAATATCTTTTTGAATATGAATATGAAGAGAATTGCTCATGCTTCATTGAATTTAAATATGACATTCACAAGATACAGTAAGTGATGGTGCTCGAGCATACAAAACTCTTGCAAGTGTCTCTGTAACCAAATGTGGAAGATATAGCTGTCTAGAAGTGGAAGTAAAACTAAGGACCCTAAGATATCAATGAAAATTGCATTGTTGCATAAAAGGAGAACTGTAATCAACGTATCTCTCCCACAAAGGTTTGTACTTCTCTATCCCGATCTTCAACCATGGCTTTAAGTTCCCATTGAAGTGAAGAACAGCTCCTTTCTCTATCATGCGAGCATCCACATTCGTGTATCCCAATCCCAGGATATGCCACGACGCCTCTAGTGCCTCTGTTAACCCGTAAAATGTCAGAAGTCCTGGAGGTAGTGTGCCAAGTTTCCATAAGGTCCGGTCCACGTTTTTTTCTTGCCAGTAGTGGTATATGCCGGTCACATTTCTCTTCCTCCATTCAACTAAATCAAAGACATTCATTCCGAACGCCCACCCACACGCATCTGGATCAAAATGGGAGCGTATGAGAGGATGAGAATAGTTCAAGTACTTGTGGTAGCGGTGGAAGGTCTCCATGCACGTCTCAACAGCGCCATTCACATTTTTGTTTAAATCGATCGAAAAGAGAGGCGAAAGATCCTTCTGAACTACAACGTCGTCATCAAGAAAGACAACCTTCTTCAGCGCAGGAAACACTTCAGGGATGTAGAACCTGAGATGGTTTAGCATCGAGAGATACTTGGGGTTTCTGAATTTGATTGGAGTGCGCCCATCGTCGTTGTGCCCAGAGAAATAGTAGCTTTGTGTATCAGAGTCTTGCAGCTGCTTGAGGACCGGAACATAGGAAGCATTCAGCCATGAAAAATCCTCGAATTTCTGAACCTCCACAGTGACTCCTCTGAGGTTGTCCATATTAATGGCGAACCAAGCCTTCATTGCAGCATAGTTGATCTCATTAGTCACAAGATGAAACACGACTTTCTCAGGGGCCTTGGAATTGAGAGCAGTGGAATTAACCACAACAGAAGTAGCAATAATGTTATCAGAAAACACACAGAAATGGTAGAGACTGTTATCCGTGAGTTTCGAATCAACACGACTCCTTTCCTTAAGGTTCCTCTGTAAGTCTAAGTTCTGAAACCATTCGGTAGTGAGACTAACACCAAGACAGTAAAGACTCTTAGGCACTTCCTCAGCAGCAATCTGTCCGTACTTGGAACTCTTCTCGCTAACAGAACTCATCTGTTCTTCAAGAGCCTGAATCGAGGCCTTGAGCCTCATAATCATAGTAGCACTATCATAGTGAAGCTGCTGAGCTTGGTATAACAAAACAGCCATGTCACGAATAGTAGGCTCAGATTCCAACACAGTCAAAGGACTTCTCCTAGTAGCAGCACTCGACAAAAGCAACTGAGAGTTACGGATCTGAGCACTTAAGTCCCAAGCAAACTGAAGATTCTTACTTTCTTTAGCAATGACAACAAAAGCTTTAGCAAGAGCAATCTGATCATTAACTTGACGAGCAACGGAAGTAGGACTCAACATTTCCTCAGTCATATTCATACCCTCTAAGAATTTGTCATTACGGTAACGTCGCTGCACAAAAGAAGGATTAAAGGGTTGGAATTTAGCAATTGAAATCGAAAAAAGAAGACATCTTTGATTGAATTGTTACCTTAGGAATAGAGGGTCTAGGTTCAATATGACCAGCTTTGGAGAGAATGAGAAAGAAGAGCAAGAGGGCAATACCAGAGAGAACCCACCAGACCACATTTGAGATCTTCCTCCGTCCAGCTCTCCGGAAACTATCGCCTCCTCTCCTCCCCATAGTAAGTACTCGTAGCGCTGTGTAAAACCCAGATCTTATAATTGAAAGATGGTGCAAGTTTTCGGATCTGAGAATTTTGTCGGGAGAAGCAAAAATAGCTCAACCGACCATCTTCTTTCTCTTCGCTGCAAAAATGAGAATTAAGTTCCTTTTTTTTTTTTTTATCGAGTGAGTGTTAAAAGACATATTTACCCTTTTTTTACCCATAACTTCATCCATACAAATCCAAGTCAAGTTTGTTACCCACTTTTGGAACTTCTTCAAGAACCCCTCGAATCAACTCGTATGGTTTTAGCACATCAAAGGTTTTAATCCGCACAAGATGTTTTTTCTTTGAATAGAAATAATATTTTATCTTGAATTAATTGATTAATTAATCGCCATGAGATGTTTCATTTTTTTTAAGTTTTGAACATAAAACATATTTTATTTTGTACGGTATAAAGAACTAGATTAGATCCCGTCTGATGTGCGTAAACTTACTAAATTACTGTGGTAAAATTTTGTTATATAAGTAAATTGTTGTAATGTTTGATTACTACAATAATTTAGTAATCTCAAGTTATCAATCACCAAAATTTGAATAAAATATTTATCATTATTATTATTATCAAATCTCAAAAAGTGATTTTGCAATTCTCGCATACAATAAGACTTCAAAACTTTGTCAAAGGAAATTTACGTACAGACGATCGGTGAAATAGTTATTGTATTTACAACTATTTACAAATTCACTATCTACTTTACCACAAACCACCGACATGCTCTTTACCACCATAACCACCACCTCCGAAATGTTTTTATGAACACATTAAACAACCTAAATATCTTTTCATTTTCACTTTTACATAATGTCTTTCACCTATTAAAACTGTTGACTCAATTTGTTTTTGAGTAAAAAATATATCTAATAGAAATGGTTGAATGTCGTTATAACAAAGATTATAAAAACAATAATCATATGAATCTATGACAAACCAATAAAGATTGAGAAATTAAAAAATTAATTTGACACAACTAAAAAACAAAGTAGTAAATAATAAACACGATGATTTATGAATTTTTAATTAAAATATTAAAATAGAAATTATACTAAGCAATCTAATATTACTACAAATAAACTAAAACTATCACCAAAAATAAATAAAAATATAAAAATTTAATTTAAATCCTCACATATTCTAGTTGGAAAAAGAAATTGGAAAAAACATATACAATTACAAATTAAATCATGATATATGTTGAAATCTAAAATTATAAGCACGGTGTTTAAATCTTCATTGAAATTAAAAAAAATAATCTAAAAATTCTACTCTTCAATTAAAAATATAAAATTATAAACAACATGATATATGAATCTTAGATAAAGATGAAAATATAAATTAAAAATATTACGTTTCAAAAAAAAATATTTAGGATTTCTAAATATTTCACAAATTAAAATCGTATAAACGGAAACTAAATATTTATTAAATATTACTTTTTATATAGTATATTGTTTGTTTAGATTACGATCTAAAGAGTTTAGAAAAAGTAGTCTAAGTTTTTTAGAAAAATAAAATAAAACTAAATTCGCCAAAAATACTTAAATCGTTTTGTGTCCTAACGTTTTCAGACCATAATGTAAATCGTAGAATGAATTTTCAAACAAATTAAAACAAAGAGGAAAGCTTAGAATACATGTTCAAAACTTTTTAGAAATTTGTAAATCGGACTTCTAAATATTTTAGAACATAAAACTAGTCTAAACATCGTAGAACATGTTCAAAAGTTTAGAATAGTTCATCTAACAATCGTAGAACTCTAGAAAACGTATTCTAAGAATAATATTAGACGAAATTTTATCTAGTAAAAAATCAATTTTTTTTTCAACTAAATCACCTGTTTTATAAAAATCATTTATATTCATGTATATCTACATGTTTTCCTGGTTTAACTTTTTAAAAACTACTAAAAATTGGGTGTAAGGGTATTTTAGTACAAAGTAACATTTTGACAAAAAAAATGTATATAGTCAAACTTTTTATTAGACATCCTTTATTTCTAATTTTCTCTTAATTCAATTGGGTATATTCCATTCTTCTTTATTAGCTTTAACATTATTCAAAAATCTATATATATAATGAGAGAGTTTTCTCTCCATCTATCTCCATCTAGAGTGTCCACATAGGCGACACATCAGCGTACACGTCATCATACATTTTTAATAAGTATAAAATGTTACCAAAAAGATTCGAATCTCTTACCCAATACATTTAATAGGTGCATTTCAAACCAAATTGCCATTTAAATCGTTTTGATTGATATCACCCAATAATATCGTAAAATAATCAACAATACAAATCAAAATCGAATCCAACAGTTGTTCGAGTTCCTAATAAAAAAAAAAAAAAATCTCCAGTGAACGCGGAACATAATGTCGTTTAAAGTCTCGAGTTTTGAGAGAAGTCAAACCCTAAAAAAATCTGCCCTTTATTTACTTTTTAATTTTAAATAACACTAAGAATATAATAAATGACATATTCCTAAATTTACTTGGGCGTTACTCCAATTTCCTAAATACCTCACTGTCTTTTCTTTTTATAATTTGTTTAGTGTGTCGCCGACCTTCTCTCTCACGTACCCTAAAGTAGCTTTGATAGTTTCCATTTTGCATATTCTCTCACATTCGCAGCCTCTCTTCCAAATTCTCTAATAAAGCTCTCAGCTTTCTTTTGGATCTGAGGTTTGAGAAATTTGCCGAATCATCATCATGAGCTTCCATAGCTTTTACCAGAGAGCTTTTAGCTTGTTCAAGGCTTACCCTTCTGCTTCCAAGCTTCTTGTTTTCAGCTCTTTCAGGTCTCTCCTTCTTTTCCTTTAGATCTGCTTCACCATTCCTACACTTCTTCTTCTTCCTTCAGCTGTGTAATATATATATAACTCTTTGACTGTTTTCTTAGTATATTTAGTTATATTTTGACCTCTCCGATGCAAGAATCCGATTTTTTCGCTGAAAGTTTTGTCCTTTTTTGGCCTCTCCTATGCATTATACATTCTTAAGACTCAGATCTATGTTTTTTTTGGTAACGTAGGTTTCACATTTATTTTGGTTTGTGTCTTTATATATCATCCTCTCTCTGATATTTGTGGTTTTATGTATTGTTGTGCAGTGGTGGTGGTGTACTGGTGTATTCAGACTCGAATCCATTGAAACGTGTATTACACGCAGACGCTACTCTTGACTCAGATGGTCAACCAATAAGGAAGAAGAAGGTGGTCGTTCTTGGCAGTGGGTGGAGTGGCTACAGCTTCTTGAATTACTTGAACAACCCTAACTATGATGTTCAAGTTGTCTCTCCTCGTAACTTTTTCCTATTCACTCCTCTCTTGCCAAGTGTTACCAATGGTACTGTCGAAGCCCGTAGCATTGTTGAACCCATTCGTGGTCTTATGCGCAAGAAAGGATTTGAGTACAAAGAAGCAGAGTGTGTGAAGATTGATCCATCGAACAAGAAACTCCACTGCCGGTCCAAGGAAGGGTCAAGTCTTAAGGGCACAACAGAGTTTGACATGGATTATGACATTCTAGTCATAGCTGTTGGAGCTAAGCCTAACACATTCAACACCCCTGGAGTTGAGGAACATGCCTATTTCCTTAAAGAAGCAGAGGATGCTCTAAACATCCGTCATTCGGTCATCGACTGTTTCGAGAGAGCCTCTCTTCCTAATCTAACTGAAGAAGAGAGGAAAAAGATTCTGCATTTCGTTGTGGTTGGTGGAGGACCAACTGGGGTCGAGTTCTCAGCAGAGCTTCATGATTTCTTAGTCCAGGATGTGGCTAAGATATACCCAAAGGTCCAAGAGTTCACAAGAATCACTCTTCTCGAAGCAGGCGACCACATCCTCAACATGTAAGTTCCACTCAAGCTTCTATAACTTTGGCTATATCTGCTTCTTTTCTAATGTTGGTGCAATTCCCCCACAGGTTTGACAAGAGAATCACTGCTTTTGCTGAGGAAAAGTTCCAGAGAGACGGTATAGATCTGAAGACAGGTTCAATGGTTGTGGGAGTGACTGCTGATGAGATATCCACAAAGGAAAGAGAAACTGGCAAAATTGTCTCTGAACCTTATGGTATGGTTGTGTGGTCAACAGGAATTGGTTCACGTCCTGTCATCAGAGACTTTATGCAGCAGATTGGTCAGGTTAGATAACACTTGATCGCATGAAGAAATCATTAATTTGCTAATGTCCCACCTCACTAGATTGAGTATGGTTACAGGGGCAGAGACGTGTCTTGGCTACTGACGAATGGCTTAGAGTGGAGGGATGTGAGGATGTTTATGCTTTAGGTGACACTGCAACGATCAACCAACGCAGAGTCATGGTATCCCATCATTTTAACACCACATATATATACCTTTCATTGTGTCTATATCTTACAAATGATGACTGGTCTGTTGTTGAACAAACAGGAAGATATAGCTGCGATTTTCAGCAAAGCAGACAAGGGAAACACAGGAACTTTAAACAAGAAAGATTTCAATGGTGTGGTTAAAGACATTTGCCAGAGGTACCCTCAGGTGGAGCTCTACTTAAAGAAGAATAAGCTGAAGAACATTGCACACTTGCTCAAGAGTGCAAATGGTGAGGACACACAAGTAAACATCGAGAATTTTAAGCAAGCTCTCTCTGAGGTTGATTCACAGATGAAGAACCTTCCAGCAACTGCACAGGTAAGCTTCTTATAGATAAAAACAAGATGAAATCAATCCACACAGATCATTTTGATGTATTGATTCTTGACAGGTTGCATCGCAACAAGGGAAGTACCTCGCAAAGTGCTTCAACAAAATGGAGAAATGTGAGAGGAAGCCAGAGGGACCATTGAGGTTTAGAGGAGAGGGTCGACATCGGTTCCAACCATTCAGGTACAGACATTTTGGATCGTTTGCTCCGCTGGGAGGGGAACAGACAGCAGCAGAACTGCCAGGAGATTGGGTCTCCATTGGACACAGCAGCCAGTGGCTCTGGTACTCTGTCTACGCCAGCAAACTGGTAAGCTGGCGCACAAGGATGCTCGTCATCTCTGATTGGACTCGACGCTTTGTCTTTGGCCGTGACTCTAGCAGCATCTAAGCCATTTTTGTTCTCTTTTTCTACGGTTTGCTTTAATTTTGCCTGCTCGTTTGTTGTCTTTTTTGGAGCTGATGATGATGATGATGATACATTGTCATTCTTGTCTTTTATCAACGGAAAATCACCGAAAAATCACCGGAAGCAACACGAGCATACTTGTTCATTCATAACCAACTCATACATAACAAAGAGTTCCCCTCATTGATTCATCAGACGACGACTATTCATTCTACACTACTCATATTCACAACACAACATCCTTCTTATTCATCTTCTCTGTTTGTGCGGCTCCATGAACTTGTCGGATACGATTCTTCCTCGACTTCGATTGACTAGTCTTAAGTATATCTATGGTAATTAAGCTCAATTCAGAGCTCTGCACCAATCCCCTAGAAGAAGCAATTTGAAAATTAGGTTGAAGGATTTTGACCGTTGGGCCATTAGATTTGGGGACTCTTGGACCTTTCATAGTCGAATAACAAATGGCCCATTAAAATTTACGAAGGCCCAAACATTCAGCCCATCATCGTTTAGATACTCCGTCGTCTTCGTCATCGTCCCAAAACCAACCAGAACGGCTCTGTGATCGGAACCGCCGTTAACATCAATTCAACTATGCCCTCTGGTTGCAGTATCAGAGCTCTCTGGATCATCAACAATCAAGAAGCTGTTGTTTTCTCCAGGTTTCTAATTCTTCTATAAACCCAATCTCACTCATTCCAATTTCTAACTCTCAATTTCTATGCAAATCAGGAGGTTTCCGGTCGTCGAGAAGCAATGGTGCTCCGTTTACAAGTCGGAAAACGAAAACACTCCTAGACTTCCCACTGATCAGCAAATCTCCAACGCTTTTACTCGAAGAAAGAGACGGTACAACACTTTTCTCTTGGTAGCTCAATTAGATTCTCTGGAAATGTAAAATTGAATTTCGAATCCGAATTAGGGAAGGCTCTACTCGTGGATATGGTATACGTGTTGCTCAATCCACCAAAGGATCGGATTCTTGGGTTGATGATCCCATCACTCGTCATATTATCAGCCTTTGCTTAAGCGAAGAAGATGATGATGATGATGAATCTGATAAAAACGAGAGGAACATTCTCTGGCCTATTGCCCTGCACACTAAAGCCCTTTACTCTATCCTTGTCTTGCCTTTGGTTGAGCCAAAGGAGATGAAAGATTACGTCAAGTTATGTAGGAGATCTGATTGTGGACCAGCTGTTGGTGAAGATTTGAGTTTGTCATCTCTCTTGCTTAACATTTCATCCGTTACAGGGTACTTATAGCTCTTCATCTCCTTCCTCAAGGTCTAAGAGTGATGTTCAACTCCTTGAATTGCACTTGTCACTCATGTTGTAGGGCTTTCATGGTGGCTCATGCATTTGGTGACATCGTTTCTGGTGATACTGTGGAACCTGAGGTTGTTGTAAGTGCGTCTCCATCAGTTGGTGGGTTGTTTGATTCAATAACTGGAAGCATTGGTATCTCATCGAGGCCAAAACCTGTAGCTGCACCGCTTGCATCTTCTTCCCCGTCTGGAGCTGCAACGACGGGAGCCACAGCATCAGATGCTCCCAAAACAGGGTCGAGGTTACTGGATAGAGATTTGCTTAGAAATTTTATCGCTACTGCTATGCCGTTTGGTTAGTATTTTCTCTCTGTCATATATGGTTTATTCTGTTACCTGCTAGACCATTTGTTTCCTGATTGATGTGCTATAAAACCCTAGAATCTTTTAATCACTTCTGCAGGTACTCCATTGGACCTCAGCTTGTCTAATATATTTGCTATGAAAGCGAATGGCTTTTCCTATGCTGATCCTCCTCCCCAAGAACTAAAGCAACCAGCATGGAAGCCATACCTGTACAAAGGAAAGCAAAGGCTATTGTTCACAATTCATGAGACGGTTAACGCTGCAATGTACGACCGCGATGAGATTCCTGATAATGTATCTGTTGCGGGACAGATAAACTGTCGGGCAGAGCTAGAAGGGCTGCCTGATGTGTCGTTTCCTCTGGCAGGGCTGAGTACAGCCCACATCGAAGCTATATCTTTCCATCCATGTGCCCAAGTTCCAGCACATGGGATCGACAAGCAGAACATTGTTTTCCAGCCTCCCTTGGGTAACTTTGTTCTCATGCGATACCAGGCGGGTTGTGGACTCGGACCACCAGTGAAAGGGTTCTATCAGCTGTCAATGGTTTCAGAAGACGAGGGTGCATTCCTCTTCAAGGTGCACCTCATGGAAGGTTACAGGGCTCCTCTGTCAATGGAATTCTGCACTATTACTATGCCCTTTCCACGGAGACGGATAGTGGCATTTGATGGGACTCCATCAGCTGGGACTGTTTTAACCACAGAGCACTCTGTTGAGTGGAGGATTCTGGGAAGCGGACGTAGTCTTTCTGGGAAAAGCCTTGAGGCTACTTTCCCCGGGACAATCAAGTTTAGTCCATTGCAGAGTAGGAGAAGAGGGGATGGGGATGATGAAGAGAGTGAGGATGAGAGCGTTGAGAATGTGGTGAACGCGGAGGACTTCTTGGTGCAGAAAATGAACAAGGATCTCCCAGCAGTTGAGTTGGAGGAACCGTTCTGTTGGCAAGCCTATGATTATGCCAAGGTATGTATGTCTTTTGCTTCCTTTTGAAATCTTTTGGACTTGTTTATTGTTCAAATCTATCTTCTGGTTTACAGGTCTCGTTCAAAATTGTCGGGGCATCTGTATCTCGAATGTCAATCGACACAAAATCAGTAAGCTTTTGCAAGTTGGAATGATTAGTTTACAGTGGTAGCCCATATTATCGACTTATTGTTGCCTCCCTTTGTTTTGTTAGGTCAATATCTACCCAACCACAAAGTCACCGGTTGAGTTTTCTGCTCAGGTAAGACACTGCTAAAATTTAAAGTTCCCAGGCGATGTTTGAACTGGATTGGTAAAACTCTAAAGGCTCTACATGATATGTACATGAACAGGTGACTTCAGGGGATTATATATTGTGGAACACATTGGGGAAGGCTCCATCAGCAGCCGTCGTGTAATTCCCCCAAGTCTCGACCTCACTGGTATTTTATTTTCCCACTCAAGGAAGTGATTTTGATTGTTTGAGTTTGAAAGCATTAAACGTATGTACATGATTGTTGTTTATTCAGAAATAAAGAAGATGAATGTTTTTAGTTGCAAGTCTGTCTGGCATGGAACATGTGACAATAAAACTCATAAGGTGGTTATGTTCATGAAGTTGCCACTCCTGTTTAATTAGTCTACAAGCCTAAGAAAGAAATTGTTCTATATAGAGAATTCTATCTAGATATAGTATATCCAGCTCATAAGGAGATTATAATCCAAGTTTTGCAGCAATATTAAGTCTGTATTATACGAAATTACAAAATTAGCAGAAAAATATCAATCAATTTAAAGATAGTTGGTGCCACGTCAATGACACAGTCTCTGTAGTTCCAATGAGCTTGGAAGAACTACCGACAGATCTCATTCATAGGTAGCGGCCATTGGAAGTGAATTCAATTTTATTTCATAAAAAAAGGTTTTAACTGTCCAAATTTGAAACCCTGATTTATTTAGTATTTAATAAATGTTTTCATGCCTTTTAAGAGTGTGCTAATGACGCTATAAAAGATGAGCTGTTATTATTACCTTGAAAACTCTAATTTATCTTAATTTAATAAGGTTCTTAAATATCTTTCCAGCTTTTTTTACTCTTTTAAGAAAAAAAATCTAAAAGTAATTCTATTTCTTTTTTTTTTGGTAGGAAAAGTAATTCTATTTCTTGAAACGTAATGTTAATGACTTAAATATGTAAACAAAGGTGGGCAATGGAAGGAGTCAAGTTGGATTACCTCATTAGAAAATTCACCAATTTGGTCAAATAGAGACGATGAAATTTTTAACAAGTCTCTCCGGTTCAGATCTGGTCATCTAAAGCCCTTCTTCCGAGATCTACGACTTTACTTCTCAAGTCGTTGTCTGAATTCTCTCTTTCCGAAAACGGACACCACCTGAGTCTGCTGTCTGAAGCCTCGGCGGAGGGAGATGATGAATCTGCCGGAGGTTGGAAATGGCGGTGGCTCGGGTTTTCCGGCGGTCTCTGTCGGAAATAAGAAGAATAAGTATCAGAGAATGGACTCCGACGCGGAGAATCATCGTGAAGCAGAGGCTAGAAACAGTAGAACCAGAAAATACGTTATGGCTTGTGCTTTTTTTGCATCCTTGAACAATGTTCTTCTCGGCTACGGTTAGTTTTTACACATATAATCGGATTCTTCTTCTTCCTCTTCTTCTTTTACTTTGTTGACTTAGAAAAGCTGTGTGTGCTCTGTTTTTGGTATTTGTCAGATGTTGGGGTAATGAGCGGTGCGGTGTTGTTCATACAGCAGGATCTCAAAATAACGGAGGTGCAGACGGAAGTGCTCATTGGTAGCCTCAGCATTATTTCACTCTTCGGCAGCTTAGCCGGCGGCAGAACCTCTGACTCCATCGGTAGAAAATGGACCATGGCCTTGGCTGCTCTCGTCTTTCAGACTGGTGCTGCGGTGATGGCTGTCGCTCCGTCTTTCGAGGTTTTGATGATCGGAAGAACTTTAGCCGGCATTGGGATTGGACTTGGTGTCATGATCGCTCCTGTCTACATCGCCGAGATATCCCCTACTGTAGCCAGAGGATTTTTCACTTCGTTCCCTGAGATCTTCATAAATCTAGGGATCTTGCTAGGCTATGTTTCGAACTACGCTTTCTCGGGGCTTTCCGTGCATATCAGCTGGAGGATCATGCTTGCAGTTGGGATTCTTCCTTCGGTGTTCATAGGATTTGCGCTGTGTGTGATCCCTGAGTCGCCGAGGTGGCTGGTGATGAAAGGCCGAGTGGACAGTGCACGAGAGGTGCTTATGAAAACAAATGAACGAGATGATGAAGTGGAAGAGCGGCTTGCAGAGATACAATTGGCGGCTGCACATACAGAAGGCAGCGAGGACAGGCCGGTGTGGCGTGAGCTTCTAAGCCCATCTCCTGTTGTACGGAAAATGCTGATTGTTGGATTTGGGATCCAATGTTTCCAGCAGATCACAGGAATCGACGCCACAGTCTACTATAGTCCAGAGATCCTGAAAGAGGCTGGGATACAAGACGAGACCAAACTGCTCGCTGCAACTGTCGCTGTTGGGATTACAAAAACAGTGTTCATACTATTTGCCACCTTCCTGATCGATAGTGTTGGCCGGAAACCGCTGCTTTATGTGAGCACAATTGGAATGACTCTGTGTCTCTTTTGTCTAAGCTTCACGCTCACATTCCTCGGCCAAGGAACGCTTGGGATAACCTTGGCTCTTCTCTTTGTTTGTGGAAATGTTGCCTTCTTCTCTATAGGGATGGGACCTGTTTGCTGGGTCTTGACATCAGAGATCTTCCCACTACGGCTAAGAGCCCAGGCCTCAGCGCTTGGGGCGGTCGGAAACAGGGTGTGCAGCGGTCTGGTGGCCATGTCCTTCCTCTCTGTGTCACGTGCCATAACGGTCGGAGGAACCTTCTTCGTTTTCTCCCTCGTGTCTGCACTCTCGGTTATCTTCGTGTATGCGCTAGTCCCGGAGACAAGTGGGAAGTCGCTGGAGCAGATAGAGTTGATGTTTCAGGGCGGGCTGGAAAGAAAAGACGGTGAAGTTGAGCTTGGAGATGCTGAGCGTCTTGTGCGCAAGGAACAGGAGTTTTGAGTGTTATACTACGGGCAGAATTGAACATGTTAAAGTAGAAGAGGCAGAAGAGAATGGTGTTCTGTTCTTGTTTTAGATCCAAAGAACGTAAGACAGATTTTGTAAGTGCGTTTGATGATGGTATAGACCCAATGCATATTCCAAAGAAGGCAAATGCTCTGTTTTTTATTCCTTGTTTCGAGAAGAAACTATGTCAATACTCACTCAAAAGACAATACAGAAAGGACAGAACCTTTGTGTTCCTTCTAACATCATAAAGTTACAGGCTCTCCGGACAGATCTCCGGAGAGTTCCAATAGATATCAACTCAAACTGATTCACCGTCAAACAACAACAACAAGATTTTGCTAGTACTAAACACACACATACACACACCCTCTCTTACCTTGTGCCTCCTCCATAACAAGAGATAAGGATTTGATGGACAAAAGTATGGAGATTGTTATCGATCTAGAAGTTTAAAGCTCGTAACCTGGGAACCTGGCTTGAGATGGGTCGACCATGTCAAGGTAGAGATAGGCCATGCCTGCAACGCCTTCAAACAAGGAATAAGGACTATCACCTCCATGCATTTCTCCTTTTGAGAGTAACTTGGGGCCTCTATCAAGCAGAAAACTGGCAAAGGCTTTTGCACGGTACAGATACTCACTCATTCCCGTAGCTCTGTAAAGCGAGAGAAAAACATATGCATTCCCACTTATTCCATGACAGATCCCCACCCGCTTGAGCAATCCACGGTTCCAAACCACCTCTGCTGCAGCTGCACCCGCTTCCAGAAACTCTCTCTCCCCAAAAACCTGTGTGTTTTGTTTTCATTTCCCAGAGATCAACTCTCTCTCTCAATAATGTCTAGAAAGCATTTAAAAACAGACACATACATTCTAACTAAAAAAAGGCATCGTCACCTCAGCAGCTTTCACAAGTGTGAGAGCAATCCCAGGAGCTCCATGACACCAATGCACAAGGACATCTTTCCTCCTATCCTCTTCACTAGCAGGGTAATTTCCACTTGGAAACCGATTCTTGATCATATACTTAAGGGTTCCCTTCACATCCTCTGCCTCGTCAGGCTTCAGCTGAACATCCATCAATACGTGCATAATACCAGCAAGCCCATGTGCTGCACCCCAGTACCGTTTGCCATACCATTCAAACATAAGCGGTGAGCTTCCTTTCTTAGCCATTGATCTTCCGTCCTTGATAATCTCCTGAGCAACTTCCCGCTGCACACTGAGTCTTACTCATTAAGAAACTAAACGAGACTCATCAATATCTCTATCTTCCTAAGAATTGTACTTACAATGGTATCTGAAGACAAAGTTTCTTTGCCAATGTACTTGTTGATGAACAAACAAGCCCATAGATAACCAACTCTTCCATACAAGAGCTCGTTAGGAAGATCACTAGATAGTCTTATCTGTTATAAAAATGATAGATTTCAATCTCAGAACCAAGAAAAACAAAAAAATGTACCAAGAACAAAGCTGAGAAGAAGCACACCAGACGAAATTGCGCCAAATAGTAGTTGAGCAACTCCTCCTCACCAGAAAGCTTAGCTGCAGCGGCGCCAAGACCACAAACACCAGCTCGGCCACAGAGAAAAGTAACATCCCTACCAAAAAAAGTCTCATATTTTCACCAACAATTCAAAGCAACTTGTTTCTATAGACAATGGAGAAGAAGAAGAAGGTACCCTGAGGAAGCAGAAGCAGCATCACAAGCTTTGACGATTTCCAAGCAAAGGGAAAGATCATTGACGTTTCCAGTAACTTGATAAGCTCTAAAGAGTAAAAACGCAGCTCCAAGAGTTCCAGAGTAAAGAGTGAAGTCTTCAACAGTCTGCCCACTAAAACCCCAAGTTTCCATCACTACCTGAGAAAGACAAACAACAACACTTAGTCACCACTTCAGAGTAACCTAATCAATCGAAAGGAAGAAGAGTAGATTTGCGCTTACGGTTTCCTTGAGATCCAAAGCGGATCGCTTGAGCTGCTGCGAGAGAGACGAATACGGCATAGCGAGCAGATTCCTAAGCGAATCTCCTCCAGATTCACTTTCCTTCTCCTTCACGAAATCAGGCATCACGTTATCGAAGAACCGATCCGCCATTGTTGTCTCTTTCTAGAAGAAGGACTAAACGCAGCGTTTAAGACGACCGGTTCGGTGAGTTGGTTACACGTTTTTAGTCAACGTGGCCTTTTTAAAATGAAATCATCAGATCTACGCCAAACTAAAAAACGACATCGTTTAAGGCTCTTCTCTTCTCTTCTCTTCTCTTCCTTGTGAATCAAAAAACACAGCGATCAAAAGTCTTCTTCTTGCGAATCTCAAAGAAGCAAAAAGCATGGCGACTTTTGACGACGGAGATTTCCCAGCTCAAACCCATTCTCCATCTGAACACGATGACTTTGGTGGCTACGATAATTTCTCCGAAGCCCAGCCACCTCCGACTCAACATCAATCCGGTGGATTCTCTTCTTTCAATGGTGATGGAGCTTATGGATCTGAGAATCCTGCTTCCCCAAACGGATATGGATTTGGTGCTTCCTCACCTAACCATGACTTTTCCTCGCCTTTTGAATCTTCCGTTAACGATGCTAACGGAAGCGGTGATGCGATCTTCGCTTCCGATGGTCCGATTCTTCCAGATCCAAATGAGATGCGGGAGGAGGGTTTCCAACGCCGTGAGTGGCGCCGGTTAGTGTTCTGATTCTCGGTTGTTCATTTCAATTCGTTTCCTGTTGTGGAGTAGGGCTAGATCTCAAGCTTTTGACTTGGTAGATTACTAGATCTTAGTGTCTTCTTAGGTAGAAAAGCTTAGGATTTCAATCGTTTAAGATTCGATTCGATTATGCGATCTTCAAAATTCGAGAATCTATTAGAAAAATGTGACCTTGTTGTCATTGTAGCTATAATCTGATTTGGTATAAGAACGAACCTGAGTAGAATATGTGTTGTAGCTATAATCTTCTTCTGTGATGTCTCAATTCTGTATCAGATTAGACTTGAACCACCATGGTTTTTGGTTCATCATATATTGAAAGAATCTCTGTGATCTGTACTGGAATAGGAAAGAGTCCGAATAGTGTATGTGTTGTAGCTATCATCTTCTTCTGTGATGTGTCAATTCTGTATCAGATAGAATGGAACCACCGTGCTTTTTGTTTTATGTATATGAAAGAATCTCTATGATCTGATTTGGAATAAGAAAGAACCTGTATGTGTTGTAGCTATCCTCTTCTTCTCTGGTGTGTCAATTATGTATCAGATTAGACTGGAACCACCATGCTTTTCTTGTTCAACATATATGAAACTGATATTTTGGCACGCATTGGTGCAGTCTGAACACCATTCACCTTGAGGAGAAGGAAAAGAAAGAGAAGGAGATGCGGAATCAGATCATAACTGAAGCAGAAGAATACAAGAAATCCTTCTATGAGAAAAGAGAGAAGACCATTGAAACCAACAAGACTGATAACCGCGAAAAGGAGAAGGTAAGTAGTGATAAAATTCACAATCGCAGCCATTTGAGATTTTTGGGTGTATTGGAAACTTGTGTGATATTTGCCTCTCTTGCAGCTATACTGGGCTAACCAAGAGAAGTTCCACAAAGAAGTTGACAAGCATTACTGGAAAGCAATTGCAGAGCTAATCCCTCGTGAGGTTCCCAACATCGAGAAGAAGAGAGGGAAAAAGGATCCGGACAAGAAACCATCAGTGAATGTTATCCAGGGTCCTAAACCTGGGAAGCCAACTGATCTAGGGAGAATGAGACAGATATTCTTGAAGCTTAAGACAAATCCCCCACCTCACATGATGCCGCCTCCTCCTCCAGCCAAAGATGCCAAAGATGGGAAGGATGCCAAAGATGGCAAAGATGCAAAAGCTGGGAAAGACGCCAAGGACTTAAAAGATGGGAAACCTGCAGATCCAAAGGTGACAGAGGAAAAACCTGCTTCACCTGCCAAAGATGCAAGTGTTGAAACAGCGAAACCTGATGCTGCTGCCTCGGGAGAGGGAGAGAAACCTGTAGCTGTGACTGAGGCCGAGGGAGCCAAGGCAGAGTGAAGGGTCTTTAGTATTACTGATGGGGGATTATTTGATATTGAAGTCACAATAGCTGCGGGGGAAATAAGAAGAGGTAAGTAATGTGCACATTGAAGCTCTTTTGGGCGATGTCTGTGAGCACACCATTTCCTCTTCTGGAGAGAGAATTTTTAGTCCTTTTGTTTTGGTTTATTATTTTTTATTACCATTATATTTCTTCTGCAAAATTTGGTTTTTGTCTTGGATGATCACCTTAAATCATTTTGTTTCCACGTATTTTATACTTATGTGCACATTTATTAAGACTTGAGAAGTAAAGGTTGTTGGATGAATCATTTGATTGTATGATGTGGGCATAAGGTAGTTGAGTAGTGTCATGGCATGTGAACCATCTATACATTATTTTCGTAGTGACTTGATAATGGGGCACGTGGTGGTCTGGTCCAGTTGTTTCGTCTCTTTCCAGGCACACAATGTATTGTATAATGTAAGTAGGAACATGTTAGAAAGTGAATGATGTAAACACATTAATTTGAGGTATTATTATTTTGCAAGAGTCGCCTAGTTGTGAGGGGCTGGCAAAAGAGTTGGATGAAAAAAGGAATGAGATTTTGCACATTATTACATCTTTTGTAAATTCTCTTCTTATATATAGTAATGTCCCACAAACAAGATTATAGATGATTGATACACACATCCCTATGGACAAGGAAAAAAAATGAAAATGGACAACATAAAAAGTTAGTAGTCACACACACATTGCAAGCTCTTCTTCCCCTAACTTTGGAGATGGCTCACTCATTGTCCTCTCCGTGTTACTCTCTCCCACAACAAAAAAAAACGAAGAGTGGTTAATTAGAGAACAGGGGAGAAGTTGAGGCGGGAGGTGTAAGTAGCTTTGGGAACCCAGTTACTGGGGATGACGTCGGCGGCAGAGAGTGTCTTGTTGTTGGACAAAGTTGTAAGCTTCACAGAGAATGGTCCCTTGAGTGGTCCTTCGACAATGCACCAGTTTGCTCCCCATATGTGCTTCATTGATATCCACTCCTTAGACCCCGCCTTCATAATTCAACACACAAAAGAAGTAAAATTAAGTAAACATTTTAAAGAAAATGTAGGAGAGAGTAATGAGAAATATTACTTGACGAATGTGCATAGAGCCAATGTCTCCTTCACCGTCTTCATACTCAATGAGAAGAGATAACCAATAATCTGTTGATCCTGCATTCACATGGAAGGCTATGTTCTTCCCTTTGTATTTGCATGCCGTTCTGTTTTACAAAACAAAAACAAACAAGTGTAGGTGTGTGTCAGAGATCCATAGGTGTGTGTTGTGTAGTCAAAGGTCAAAATACGGGACCATCAATAAAAGACAAGAACGCCGTTAAAGCTTCTTTAGTTGTTTGTTTAGTCCTCCCAATGTAAGAAAAAACCATTTACTCATTTGTTCGTTAAATAAAATAATAAGTTGGTTATTTAGAGCGCCAAGAGGTACCGGCCGTAGCGGATGTTTAATAAGCCACGGTTGCGGATGACACCGTTATGGCCGGGAATAGCCATATGTCCAAAGGCGGCACCGCTAAGGTCGAAGTGAGTGTGGTTTGCTTTAGCAGATGGTCCCGACGGTGACTGGTCGGTGACAATAATGGTGACTGCTCTCTTAGAGCAAATGGTCTTGTCGAGACACCTGACTTTGTAACATGCACCGCAGCCTTCACCACCCTTGAACAGAATCGGACTCACCGCTCCAACTCTTGCCTTAAACGGCTTCACGTCCACTAGTGACCCGTAACCACAAGCTCCTCCTGCGGTTTCATTAATAAGCCCTTGCATTGTTATTGATTTCGCAGTAAACTTTTGACTTTGTTACTGTAAAAAGTAAATCAATTGTTGTGGATATTATGTAAAGAAATGTTTACCACTGCTGCCGTCGCCCTCGGGACTTCCGTACCAGGTGGCAGTTGCGGGAAGCCAACGGGTGACTGCCACTTGTTGACTGGAGTGAGTCAACGATGGAGTAGAGCCAGAGCCGCCTCCTAGAAGGTGGAGGAAGAGGCATAGTGTCGGTAGGATGACCGGAAAGAGCTGCATTTTGACCGGAGAGACAAGCCAAAAAAAAACCAAAAAAAAAGTGGAGAAGTGAGAGTGGAAGAATTGTTGGTTAGTTGGTTAAATAGAGAGGGAAGAAGCTAGGAGGAATGGTTTATGGTTAAGTCTTTTGCATCAAATTAGAAAATGACGATTATGTCCTTGACTCATTCTTCTTATTTACGAAGTGTGCCATTTTTGAGGGGGATGGGACCTACTGACAGTTAGGGGCTTGATGTAGCACGATCCCGTAGGGTAAGGGGTGTGTGTGTGTTTATGCAATTATAAGATTCCATCGTTTTTATTTTGAAGCCAATGTTGGTTGGGACAAGATTCTTCCGTTACTCTTACACTTGTTCTTTCTTTCTCTCTTTTTTTTTTTTTTGCTTATGACTATATGATGTAATACTATGACCATGGCCTCTTGTTTAACATTGTTATTGGTTATCCTTGTGGATTCGATTGGTGAAATAAACCAGTCAAATCTAACGTAAAGAAAAGCGGTACAAAACAATATATGACAATGATTAGAGTTGTAAACCTTGTGCCGATTGATAAATGTTACCAACCAAAACATATGTTGTGTTTGTTTCAATATGAACTAGAGACATCAACAAGTTTTTTTTCTTCTTCTTATTGGTAGAATATGTGGATTATTTGAAGATGTGAGGATATATGACCTCACAATTTAAGAGTAGCAAAAGTGAATTATGTTGGATTTCTTTGGTATTTGTATATGGAATAAAATAGAAAAAAATTGTAAATGGATTTTTTAGTCAATTCACGAGTTACCAATTTATTTTGACGTCATAATCTTCAAAAAAATTTTAATTTAACTAATAAAATATGGAAAAATGTCGAAAAAACATCAATTTTCAAATTTGGGACAAAAAAACATCGCCTTTCAAATGTTATTTAAAGTCCAAAATTTTAGTCGGCCTCTTAGTAATATAGTTAAGTTTCGTAAACTTGGCCGGATTAGACATGACGTTAAGTTTCCGTTACGATTCCACCAGAACGAGAGACAGTTCGAACCCTATCGGAGACTGAGGCGGTTATGAAAAAAAGATGGATTACCTAGGCCCAATCTAGCCTTTTTGTGGTTTAAAAGTCTACACTCTACTGACCAGCTTAAACATTTTTTAGAGATGATCTTCTTCCACTCCCATATTGACTTTATTTCTATTGGAAACTTAACGACATTCCTAATGTGGTCAAATAAATGAAATGTAACTATTTTACTAAGAGGTCAATCAAAATTTGGAGATTTAAATAACATTTTAATTGTTAATGTATTTTTGTCCCAAAATTGAAAATTAATTTTATTCGATATTTTTTTAATAAAATATGTTTGAACTATTTTTCTTTGAAAGATTAACAATATAAGACCACATTTTTTGCTCATGGAAAACAACACAAACTAGATAAAATAAGATTTAATAAAAGTGTATCTGATCTTTATATGATAAGATTTGGAAATACGGAATCTTGATGGCCAGTGTCTTGCTCACAGCGCATAAATCATTTCAACACTCGAAGATACTATTATTCTTTTAACTGTTTCTGAATTTCGTATTTATTTAAGTCAACAACCAACCATAGCTTAGTGCATTTTGTTTTGTTTTTGTGGAAAAAGAGAACAAGAAAAAGTTTTAAAAACCTAATATTGTTGCAATATTAAAGGTTTTTTTTTTAATATAATTTTGGCAGACCGCACATGACTCCGTCACAATCCTTATTCCTTAAGATTTATTCGACCCTTGTTATACTTTATTATCTTTCTAAAAGAAGCTTACAAGAAAATTATTTATTTATTTATTTATTTGAAAAAGTAAAATTTTTAGATACAAATTCAGAAGGAAATCCCCTATATATTAATAGAGAAACATTTTTTAAAAAAAACCTTACCATCATGTGTTATTAACAAGATTGCCACGCTGATGTGTCGCTCTCGCAATGATTTGACCTCTATTTAGATAATTATCCAAGATTTATTAGACTATTTACAGAATTTGTCATTAGTCTCATACATCCATATATCCCATTAATAATTAAAAACATACACTTTTTGTTTATCTTATATTACTATATTTATATATTTATATATTTCTTTATATACATTTATATAAATTTTCTTTAGTGGATGGGTAAACAATCTTTTTATTTATATTTATATTTATGTTTATATTTAAATGATAAAATATATATATTTGGTTCAAGAATCTCGAATTCAAAACTACAAAATCTTTACATCTTTCATAAATTTTTTACTTAAATAAATAAAATAATCTCCTTTCTATATATGTTACGAATGCTTAAAATCCTATTTTTTGGAGGAGTTCTAACTTTTCGAAGAAAAACATTATAACCACATTTGTATATAAACCAAAATCTGGCCACATTATAACTATTTCGTAAATAATCCATTCATAATCTAAGAATCTTAGATTTGGAACACTACAAAATCTTAGCTTCGAAACTATCAAATCTCATCTTTGCTAAATTTTGGATTTCTTATACTTATTAAAAAAAAAAAATTTCTTTTTATACTACAAAATCTCAAAATCTTTAAAACATACGGAAAGACATATTGCCATAAATGGTAACATTTCGTCAATACTTTTTTATCACGTTGAAGCTTTATTCAAAGTTTAAATATTTCACGGATAAAACATATTCTTATATGAAATAGTCCCAAATTTGAATAAAACAAAAAAAAATTGTAACATGTTTCGTTTTACACAAACGGATCTTAGATCCCGAATAATAATTTTAATCATAATAATTTTACTTAAATCACTTCATCCTGCACATCGTGCGGGTTGTTATCTAGTATTTCTTTATTGTCAATTACACTCATGCTTACAAAGTTTGATGTACATGTAAGTCGTACACGTAACTATGTATATGTTTACAAAAGTTTATCTTAAGAAATGATTATTTACATTGTTTTCTTATTTAAATATGGTGAATGCAGCTTGTTAATTATTGTACCTAATTCTTTCTCACTTCTGAATTTTTAAAATAAAAAACGTTTCCTACATTCGCAATTAACCAAATGGATAGAAAATTGCTAAGAAAAGAGAACACAAATTAATATTCCAAGTTTTTTTGCTAGAAAGTTTGGTCGACTATTGCTACTTCTACATTCGTAGATTGCCAGAGAGTTTGGTATAAATTGAGACGACTTCACGAAGCTCTTAGTCAAAACCTAGCCAATCATTTGGTTTCGAGATCATGTACACCAAATACATAGAATCAGTGAAATAATGAGAGCAATATCGATCATGGTTTCCCACCATTGCATGACCCAAATTAAACCTTGCAGTTCAAAGGTCAATAACCTTTTAAGGCGAGCTCGATTTTAAACTGAAAAGAGCGATCCATCTATCGAAGAATTTATCGATTTTTTCCAAATATATCGTCATAGTCCACGGGAATACTTGTAACAATCTGACATACCTAAGTAACTAAAATATAGAACAGCATATTGGAGATGAACTTGTGATATTTAAGTGAACTTCTTAATAACCATCATGAATACTGGTATACATGTAGGCATGTGTGCATTATCAAAGACTAGTGAAATATACAATTGACAACTTCAATAAGAAAAATAAATATCAGAGAATAGTTATACAAATGAGAATGCTTTAGCTAAAAGCCTAAAAGTGAGAAAGTCAAATTGTATTATTGAGAATGACAACAAGAAAAAGATGTCATTCTTACGTAATTCATGAAAATTACAATTAAAGTCACATGAGATGAGATGATGAGTGAGTATCAATAAAAACAGTGCATATAGGAATCTTACAGTTCACTAATCACATCACATTCTCAATTAATTCCTTCCTTCACATATTTTCTTACACAATAAGAGACTTTATCCAATCTTTTCCCATGTGCCCCATAAGCCAATACGAATACCATTGGTCTTCAATTATTTTATTTGCTTAATTTAACAACGAGTAGCTCCATAAGAATTCTTAACAACGATGATCAGTGATTGCTCTATAGTTGGTTAATAATTAAATTGTATTCGAGTTTTGAGATTTTTGATATGTAAATAAGACAAATTCCGATCCGACCAAGATATGACTAGCCTGCAGGATATAAATCTTGGTTAGATCAGCAAAAGAGTGGAGAGAGATTTACATTCATCACATAATGTTTTAAATGTAAGAACATCCCAATACGTATATGTGTATTCAAGATTTCCAAGAGATAATAGTGAAAGAAAGAGATGCAACAAGAAGCCAAAGTAAATGCACACATCGAAATAGCAGACTCTTTCCCATTTTTCTTCTACGAGCTTCTTGGTTTGCACCTCTCACCGGTTCGCCCTTTCATTAATCCTAACTGTCCAAGCTCCCGGTTTGGCTCCATACATGGGTTCTCCAACAACATATGGAGGCAGCTGACGACCATCCTGCAGGAGTGCAACTGTGCTTACATTGTATTCATCGTCACTGTCGTAATGACGGTAAGGGTGAGGTCCAAGAGCTTTGAGCAACATGGCTAATAAAACTGATAGACCCTGCCAATAAACAAAGAGAACGCTGTGAAACATTGAAACCAAACAATTTAGAAGCATCTTAAAGTAGAGATTTTTGTTGCTATCAATTAAGATACCTGGACACAGACAATAGAGAGACCTATCCACTTGCAAATCTTGAAGTTTGACTCGATGAACTTAGAGAACTGGTGGAAAGCACCACTTGGATCCTCTGGAAAGTCCTGGTGAAAGCTTCTAAAAGATTAGGATCATGGGCGTGACAATAGAGAGCCTCCCAAGATTTTTCAAAAGAAAAGATATATAGAAACTATACCTTTTTCCAGTCACGGTTTAGAAAGATATCAGCAACCACACCGCCTTCAACCATAACTAGCAAGACAATGAATCCCATATACTGAACCCAGTCGATGTGCCAATAAACAGATGCATTATTCACATAGAAAAGAAACACAAGAATGAATTCAGGAAGGAACAATAAAACTACCAAAGAAAAACAGGCTAACGTAGATCGGTAGATGATGCTACAATCCGTCAATATATAGAGTTGCAGGAACAACTTATAAAAAAAAAGAAAAGAAGTTTACCAAGTAAAGGCAACATCCATTCACAGTTTCAGCAGCTATGTGCCCGGCGCAAGTGACAACACAGAGAATGGCCCCGAGACCGAGAAATGAATAAATGAACCTGAAGCTCATAAGAAGATTGGTTCAGCAATTTTCATCAGCAATGGCAAACTTCATAACAATTAACAACAATAATAACTTCCCCCTCACACAGATACAAGATATGTCACTCCCTTCCAGTGCCATCTTACAAGAATCCTGAAGCTATCTCTTCCATAGCCTAACAACTTCTAGACACCTCAAGCTTACAGAATTTACGATCTTTCTACGAAAACAAAGATAGCTCCTCCCCAACAAGATGTGACACTCATTTGCAGTGCCATCAAATCTTACAAGAATCCTAAAACTCTCTCTTCCATAGCCTAACAGCTTCTAGCTTCCACACACCTCAAGCTAACAGAATCTATGATCTTGTCCCTGCCTATTTTGTTCAGTACCATTCTCAAACCACTCATAGATTCTAAACAAAGATACAAACGCCCAAATAGCCAGAAAGTGATCAAACACATAAAAAGATGGAAACTTTGACATACCATGGAACAGGGTGATCAGAATCAGCAAAGGGAAGATTTCCCATTTGTTCTTGCCATTGCCTAATCAGCCAAACAGCGTAGAGAATCATAGCAATCCCAACCATCCCAATTAGAGAATTCACAAGCTTTAACATGGACTGTAAACAACTTCTCACGATCCTCACCATCTTTAATCACCCAAAAACCCTAGACGAAGAGACCAGACACAACCAACAACAAATCAAATTCTCTTCGTCGGTTGGGTCTAGGAGGAAGAGAAATCGAAAAAGAAATGATCTTTTTTGTGAATCCTGTCAGCTCCAGATGTTTTCTCCTTTCTTATGAAAAAAGATTATCTTTTTTTTTCCTTTTTTGAGCTAAGAAGATATCTATTGACAAAAAAAAAAAACACACTTGATGCCAAAAAAAGAAAAAACAATTCTTTTGGATTACCACAAGAATTGAATTGAATTGGTCTCTCCATGGTAACTTGAAAGTTGAAGTGGCTTGGCTCTATGAGACTCTCTGGTCAGAGACGGCGATGATTCTAGGCCGATGGGTTTCCTTCAGTTGCGTCAACACGCCGGTTACTAAGGTTTCCGACCGACGAAGACATTCGGAGTTTCGTGGTCTCTCCTCTACTACCACTTGTCGTCCTTCTCTCAGATGCTCTTGTCTCAAAAGCAAATCCACACAAGAAACTACTCAGGTACGTCTCCTTCCTTTCATTGAGTCATTACATGAGATGTCTTCGTTTCAGATTAGGATAAAGTTTCCTTTTTTATAATTAGTTTTGATTTTGATGGTAATTCTAAGTCCAAGTCCGGTGCTTTATAGATTGAGAAGTTGGGGAATGAAGATGGGTTCTCGGTTTTGGCATCAGAGATTCCATGGGAAGATAATAACATATGGAGCACATTTGCTCTTTACATGTTCTCTCTGCATATTCCTCTCAGTTTTGGGGGTTTATCCATTGTTGCCAACATACTCCACCGGCAGGTTCTTGATCCTCAGACCCAAGTGAGTCTCCTTTCCTTTTGTTCGAGAAGACTGTTCAATATCTTGTTGAATTGTACACTTTAGAGATGAGCAAAGGGCAGTTTAGTTTTCTACCTATGTGAGATGCATTTGGTTGCTTGTTAAGAGTGGTGAAACCCAGTCTCTGTCATTTTGATTCTGCAGTTGATTTTTCTTGTTGAAATTCATGCTGTGGTTACAATTTACAGGTGCTATCACTTGTGGTTCTCCAAATGGTAGAACTTTCAGGGACAGTCTTGCTGCTGAGGACCACAGCGAAGCCTCAGTGCAAATCAATCAACTTTCTAAAGGGTAATAATGAATCAAGGGAAGAAAGAAACTGGGTGGTTGGCTCAGCATTGGGTTTGGGATGTCTTGTGGGCTTTATCTTCGTCACGTCGCTTGTAGCTGATCAACTCTTTGGCTCTAAGGTCTCCCCAATTGCCTCCTGATCTAGTACACCATTCTCTCCTACGATGATTAACATAGCAGAAACAATGCTGTTTGATCTCAGGCTGTACATGAATCAGAATTGGAGAAGATATTGGTGAGCGGGGAAGTGGCGAGAAGCGGGTGTTTTGCTCTCTACTGCGTAGTAGCTCCCATCCTTGAGGAGATAGTGTACAGACGCTTTCTACTGACCTCCTTAGCGTCGAGAATGGAATGGTGGAAGGCACTAGTGATCAGCTCAGGAGTATTTGCAGCAGCTCACTTCTCAGGTCAGGATTTTGTGCAGCTGTTTGGGATAGGGTGCGTTATCGGTTCATGTTACATCTGGTCAGGGAACTTGGCCTCGTCAGTGCTCGTCCACTCATTGTACAATGCCTTAACACTCCTCTCTTAGCCACGTTCAGATGACAAGGAAAACTTTCCCACCAGGGTTCAAGGCACGGCCACTGGCAGGTTTACATAGGGGAATTGCCAGCCTCGTGGGATTAGTCCTTGGGCCTAGGAAGCCTTTGGGAGACCCGCGGTTATTCAAAAAAAAAAAAAATCTCTTCTTTGTTTAAAGACAAGACAACGTATAAACTATAAACCACTACACTTGTTCCAAGCATTGTTAAAGATGATGATGATTCAAGATCAAATTCTTAAATTTTGGAAGCCGTCCTTCACCTTCACATCCTCTCGAGCTTTCCTTTCTTTAGCCCTTCTCAGAAACCCATCAAACGAAATTCTTTTATGCATCTCCTCCATAAGCTCAGGTCGACCTCTCACAAAATTCTTATCACCGAATTCCCACAGGCCACAGCCCAACAGACCCCTTAATTTCTGTAAAGCCCTAACAACAACAAAAAAAGAAGACGCATAAATTACATATAGCAAACCAACAAACACTCGTGGTGAGCTATAAAAATTGATATTTAGTTTTTTTTTTTGGGTTTATCAATTTATCAATTCTCAGTTTGGTTACGGCTTGTTTTATCGGGTTTACGATTTATTTTCTTTTATAAAAATGAAAATGTTTAGAAAACCATATGCAATTTCATTCGGTTTCAGTTATTTTTCTTTTATTCCATGATTTTTCAAAATGAAAATAACATTTTTTTTTTTTTGAATTATATCATCTTTGATTTTAATCTATGAAGTGAATCTAGTTTAACATATTTGTATAACCTAAATGTTAAACATAATATTATTATGAACTATATCATCTTTCAAAGAGTTTTATTTTTTCTTCTCCAACATGTATTAATATAAGTTTCTAAATAAATATCATTAGATTGAGAAAATTTATATATGTAGCTTATATCACAATTCACAAGGAAGAGGAAATCAATATTGGAAAAAATATTAGAACGCTAACCAAACAAGTGATATTATAATTAAAAAAAAAAAAGTAGAAACCCAAAAAACCAAACTGTTTTATGGTTTTAAACTGAACCGAACCAAAGTAAATTATTAATAATTATAACCGAACGGGTATTTGGAAGAAACCGAAACCAGACTGAATTACCTAATTACTGGTCGGGTTTTTTTGGGTAAAAGTTTTTTTTGCACACCCCTAAAAAATTTCACTTTTTTTTTGTCATCATAAGTTATACTTAAGGGTGTCAAAATGGATATATATCTAATATTTTAAGAGTTTGGATTGAATTTTTAACCCATACTAGATTTTAACGCGCGGAACACCGCGGGATGATTTAATTTTAAAGTTAGTATAAAAATATTTTGTAAATTGTATCTCCTTATAACATATTTATTTATATTATAGTTTACAATTGTTATTAAGTAACGGTATACCACAAGTCCACGAAACAATTATTAATAAACTGAGGATTTAACCCGTATTAAAACGGTATATAAATATTGATTCAAATTCGTCCGCCATATAAATCTTTTCCGAAATATAACACGTTCCGTAATTTCTTAACCCGTTCCATGATTTGTTTTTATTTTAAAATTTAATAATTATTTATTATATATAAAAGTTTATAAATCATATCATTCTCTAAGACATTTATATTTTAATAAACTGAAGATTTAATATGTATTAAAACGGCATGTTAATGATATTTTAAAATTTTAAAATATTTTTATTAAGTAACATTATACCACGGGACAGTTTTTGGTTTTATACAATCTTTTCTAAATGAGACTGATTTAATATGTCTAATATTGGTGGTATTAAAAAAACAAAAGGATTTAATCCGTATTGAAACGACAGATTAATGATATTTAATCTTTTTATTATTGTTGATTCAAAAACCCGTCCCGCCAAAAAACTCATTTATTTTATTATTGTTGATCTTATTTATGATATGATTCTGAATCATTGTCTAAATATTTTAATCGATATAGAACGTTGAACACACATTTTGGTCAATTGGATAATATATGTCCGTTTTTTAAATTTCGAATCACAGTATATGCAGAAAAAAATTTAATTTTTTTTACTTTATGTATTATACAATGATGATTCAAAACAGTTAAAAACAAATCAAACAAATCTTCTAAATATCTAAATGATTAAATATGGAATATCCGCTGTATAAGTTGGGTTAAATATAACCCGACCCAACAATTTTTTTTGTTAAGGAATTTAAAAAACGGGTCGGATATCCGATTAACCCAGAAGCATTTTTATCCATCCGTCACCAAAGTGGCAAAGTGTTGCGAAAATACTAGTATAGATAAATAAAAGAATTGTGTTCAAAGCATAATGTATGGGAGGAGAAACCGAGAAAGTGAATTGTGTTTTGAAGAAAGTATTGAAAAACTTTTAACAAAAAAAAAAAATGGTTGATAAGAGCTATTATCTGATAACTCATTTACGTCGATACCAATAGATTTTTGCACATTACAGCAATAAACAAAGAAATTAAACCAACGACTACGTCAGTGCTCGTCCACTCCTTGTATATATAATGCCTTGAGTCCTTGACACTTCTCCTTACGCTATTCTTTAGCAACGACGTAACTGAGAAGGATAATGGTTCCAACGAATCTTTCTTTGTTAAGACAAGACAGCGAATAAACAGTGTGTAAAACCATAGCTGATCTGTTACTTCAAAGCTTTAGAGAAAGAGTCTTTATGAAAGAGAAAGTGTGTTGACTAAAACAACAAAACAGAAGGTAAGAAGAGTTTAATTAACAAGAAAAAGGTTATGCTTTATTCCAATTTCCAAGTATGTCACGGGTTAGTTTATTCAAGAGTTCTGACATGTAATATCCAAAATCAAGACTTGTTAATGGGTGGGATAAGGTAGCACCAACCAGTAAGGTGGTCCACTTCGTGTTGAGAATTACAAAGCTGGCAATTTTCATCGCAAACATCCAACGGTCCTTCTTTTACCACGTGTACAAAACCCATTCTGGATCCACGCATAAGATGATTCATTTAACTGGCAAAAACCATTTATTTTGTTCAGAGGTTCCGGACCAAAGTCCGTAATCCCCCAGACCCGAAACCACATTTTGTAATATTAGTTTTGTCCCAAGCATCAGTCGAACCGGCGACCTCTAAGATTCGCTTAGGATTTTTACCGGTTGAGCTAATGCCACTTAGTTATTTTGTTCAAATTTTCAACATAGAAAAAAAAAAATAGATGTTTATTTTAATAAAAGCAATGGCAAAATTAGAAAAAGAATTTTAGGAAGCATAAAACAGCAGAGATAGCTTAGCTTAGGTGTAATGATCCAATTAGTCTATTAATAACATTTCACAGCTATTTATATTTATATAAATCCCTTGTATATTACATAGAGAGAGAGACGAGGACACAAACAAAACTTATAACACATCTCTCACCTCCGAGAGAAGAGAGGAGAATCCAAGAAAGAAAGAAAGAAAGAAGAAGATGGGAGCATTTGAGGATCAGGTGAAGATGAGGGCGTTGGAGCTGAAACATCTCTTCAAGAAAGGCATCAAAGTTGTCGGCAAATCTTGTAAGAAGGGTTGGTCCAAAGTCAAGAACCTTCGTCGTTAGGATTCTTCATTCTTGGCCTTCTTCCATTACATCTCCCAAATTATCTCTCTCTTTGTCTTTGTTTTATTTTTTAAAACTCTCATATTAAGTTTTGTCTTCCTACTTTTATGGGTTTCATCTCTAAGTCTTTCTTAATTGTTGGTTTCTTCATTCTTTTCTCCTCCTTGGATTTGTTGGAGGATGTCAACACATCTTCTTTAATATGGATATGAGATCTACTAACTAATTATGATGCAAGAATTTACAGATTCTTTTTATCAATCATTTTGAAGAAAAGAAGAATTTATTGGAGAATACTAAAAACTAATCTTTCAAATTTCAGCTTTAATTTAAAGATAAGAGCCTGCATGAACCCCAGCTTTTTCCTTTTTCCTTTTTTTCTTTGCATTTAACAGGAACCCCAGATTTTTTAATTTGAACAAAAGGGAAAAAAAGCAAAAAGAATAATGAAAAGCTTGTGGTTTTTTTTTTTAATGACTGTTTAATAAAAGTTGAGTAACTCACCAAAAAAAAAAAAAAAAAAGTTTTAAGAGTTTTAATGGGCCGGTATATGGGCCTTTTCCAATTTGAAATTCGGTTGAGCTTTGATGGGCCGATATATGGGCCCTTCCCAACGCATAACGCAAAAAGTTGCAATATAAAACGATGCTAGGGTTTCAGAGGAAAGAAGATAAAAACTCCTCTTGGTGGCGGTGAGAAAAAGATTCAGGGCTCATGATCGATCTTCTATGAACGAGAGAAGCCAGTGAGCGATTCAGTTTTCATTATTACCATCAAAAGCTTCGTACTTTTGTTTTAATTGATCGAATTCAATTCATTGAATTAAGTAAAGTTGTGATTTTTATCTTCTTCTCTTTGTGCTTTGCAAAGTCATAACCTTTGTGAACTGGGTTTAGATAAAGAGCCAGTGATGATTGAAAAAGATTGTCTACATTGTTTGATTTGCCTCTGAAATGAATTCTTTAATTAGTCTGAGGCTCTTTGCGTTTTGTTTTTCCTGACTCTCTCTTTAAGGCCTATGATGATTCAAATTTTTTGCCTACATTGTCTGATAAACTAATGATATAACTTTTTACAAAATGTAATTTCTGAGGCCTTTAGTGTTGTCTTCTTAAAGAATTGTTTTTGGATATTGATGATGAGAGGCTGGTGATGATGTTTCATATCTTTGCCTACATTGCCTGATCAAAGTTATTTTTAGCTTTGAACAAGTGAGTGAATGATAAACTGCTGAAGCCTCATGAGTTTGCTATTGTTATTTGCCTAGTAGGAGGCTGGTGTTGTTGTAGTGTTAGAGATTTTATATGCTCCTCCATGACATCTATGAACCTTGTTAAAATCTTACCAACTTAGTCATTTCATAGTCATTTTCTTGATATCTGAATAACAACAACAAGCAGCAATATGTCTCATCATGGTAAATGGTTTAGAAAGAATTTTTGCTTGTGGAAAGACAGATTTGGTTTCGACCACATCTAGGAACTCACATTCTTTGTTCTTGATTTGGTAATACTTCATCTCTATAGCTTAACAGGAAGAAGGATCACAACTGAGAAGTCATGTCTTGGCCTCATCTCTCTACTGGAATTTAATTGTGGATGTGTCATGTTTCAATTTTACTTGTATTGTTGTATTTTGGCCTTAACACCTTATCAAGGGGGAAACTTTCTTGTAATTAGAGGAGATAACACAAATATATTTGTTATGATTTTTGAATAATGATTGTATGCAATTTTATTGTTTACTTCTCCCTATCAATTTACTTCGAACTTTATCTGCTTTTCCCACTATTTCACTAATTTCTCATGTTCAAAAACACAATGACTTGAACGAACTTACATGTGAAGGTGAAGCTTGAGGGAATCTGTTAAGAGTAGCCCAAGTTCTCTAAGCCCAATAATCTTCAGATCAAGGCCCAATCTAATGAGTGTAATCCAACGTGACTCGGAACGTCCTTGCTACTTGCTGCGTCTCGACTTTTCTAGAGACTAGAGAGTAATGAATGAGTGGATGTGTCCATTTGTCATTTGTAAAATTGTCCTTGGAGGCCAAGCTAAACTTTATTCTCTTAACAAGTAGGAAAATAGATTTTAGCTTGGCCTCCAAGGGGCAATTTCACAAATGACAAATGGAAACGAAGAGTCAAAGTTGGTGGTTTATCATCAACTTTGTAATCTTTCGTTGACAAGTGTGTATCTTTTGTTGAGTGTTCTGTTATAAAAAGCCGTGTTCAGGTTGTGATCTTGGTAGAGAGAGTGAGCGATCTTTGAGGAGCTCTCGATGATTCTGTATTCTTGAGATAGTAAAACTGGCGTTTTACCTCTCTTCTTAGTCCTTTGTCTTTCTCTGCTTCTTGTCCCATTCTTGTTCTTGCAGAGTAACACGATCATCATCTACCAAGTTTTTCGATTGTGTCAGTTGTGTGTTTTGTTGGTTTTCTGTCACATTGATCAGTCTGAGGCTCATTATTTTGTGTAGTTTTTCATTTTTGATCTTTCTGCATAAAGAAAGGGCCTATGATGATTCAAATTTGCCAACATCGTTTGAGAAACCAATGATAACGTACTTTTTTACAATAATGTATTTCTGAGGCCTAATTTGTTTTTTTTTTTCTTAGAAAATCATATTTGTATTTGAAAAGACTTTGTGTTATGAACTTTGCTTACAATATTTCCATTTTTTCTTTCCGCTAAAACACCATTTCATTAAGTTATCGGACGAAGAGAGCCAATCCGAAACCGATACTTATAATATTTCCATTGTACATAATCTATTAAGACTGCTAAGTGGTAAGTAAAAATTTTTTTTTTTTTTTTTTTTTTTTTTTGTAGTGGGAGATTCAAACCGGAATTCTCTAATACGAATCCGGTTAAGGCAATTTATTTTATGAAAGTAAAATTAAGTGTCGTCGTAAAGTGGACTGAACGCAGACAGAGAAGCGAAAACCTAGGCTTTTGTTTTGTCTTGGTTCTGGCTTGAGCATGAAGCATCTTCTCCGGCAACCATTCAGTACTTTCTTCTGGAAACTTCCTTGCAGACGTTCCTTCGTTCATTTCCCTAAAACCATTCCTTCACCGGAGCTCATTGATGACACTCTCAAGCGTCGGATCGAGCGAGTCCAAGATTCGACGGTCTCCATCACTCCGTTGCTCCGAGAATGGTGCCAAATCGGAAATCAAACGGCTCTTTCAGAACTCAGAAGCATCATCACCTCTCTTCACAGATCCAATCGCTTCTTCCACGCTCTCCAGGTTAGGGGTTTCAAAAAACAAGCAAAATTTGGACTTTTACAATTTTGTTAATTTTAGGTTTTTGGTGTTGTTAGGTATCGGATTGGATGATTGAACAAAAAGCTTACAAGCTGAGTTCGATGGATTTTGAGCGACGGCTTTACTTGACTGCAAAAGTTTGTGGTGTGGAAGAAGCGGCTAAGTTCTTCGAGACTGTTCCTGTAGAAAAGAGGGATCTTTATTTGTACAATGCTCTCTTGAGCTGCTGCAAAACACACAGCTCTGTGGCCATAGCTGAGACTACTTTTGAGAAGAAGAGAGAGCTTGGTTTTGTGAGAAAACGTCTGCAAAGTCCCTTTTTGTCAAAACAAAACCTCATATCTCCCCGTAAAAAACAGAATTTCTTTTTCAATTTTTTTATTACATTGTTACCCCAGCCAAAACACAAAAATAATAGAGAAAACCTAGATTTAACCCAGTTTCTTTTCCCCACCCATAACTATTCGGATCTAACCTGAAATTGATTTCTCTTTCTCTACTTTGAAATCGTTCTCTTCGACTTTTCCTCATGAACGTTTATCAGCTTCAATTCTCTTAAATTCAAAAGAGAAGTTACGATTTCTCCATCTTTAATTGGTAAAACTATGTAGAATTCAAGATTTTGACTGTGAAAAATTGTTGATTTCTCTTGATAATGGTTAAGACAAGGTGGTCAAAAAAGAGGAAGAGAGGAGAAGAGGGTTCGGGAAACCCTAATGTTGAGGAGAAAGATGGATAAAGTTTGCGGAACCCTCCAGATTCGAACAATGTTGACGAGGAGGTAGAAATAGAAAAAGATAGAGATAAATAGTTATCTCCAGTTGCTGAGAATAATGAAGAAGAAGGGAATGAAGACGATGAAGAAGAAGGGAATGAAGTAGAAGAGAAAGAAGATGAAGAGAGTGAAGACGAAGAGAATGAAGATGAAGGAGAGAGTAGCCGAACCTTGCGTGATTCCATTGAAGAGAGATCCGAAGAGATATCAAACGAAAATCGCGTGGAGATGGTAAGTAGTTGGGTTCGAAATGTGAATTTTGGATTTTAAGTAATAATGGTTGAATAATACATTTGTGATTTCTGAGTAATACTGGTAGAATTGAGAAATAATATTTTGACATCTGGGTAACACTAGTAGAACTAGAGAATACTATTGTGATGCCTAGGTAAAACTCATAATACTACGGTATAACAAACATTTAGTAATACTGAGTAATACTATTGTATAATTGTGTTCAATTGCATGAGTCTGCTGACCCACTAGCTGGTCTTTCAGACCCACCAGCTGGTCCTTAGGATCCACTTGCCAAGGATGATAATGGTGGTTTATGTGCGATAGGCAAGGAAGAACCAACTCGGAAAGAAGTCCAACCCAATTAGATTTGGCTTCTTGTGTTTGGTATGGATATTGTAAGTTTATGCATACTTTCTAGGGGTCGATTAGGTTTTTAAATGGATAGCAAATGGATTTTAGCAACTAAATCATAGTGAATTATAGTTTTGAACCCGAAACCATTCAAGTTGAGTTCTTCTCGCGATAGTAGAACTGGTCAAACTGGGTAGAAATGAATCTGAAACTATTGAAACATATATATATATATATATATATAGTATGACTAGTTACACTAGTATGACCCAAATATATGTAGTATGACTAGTTACACTAGTATTACCCAGATTCATGTAGTATGACTAGTTAAACTAGTATTACCCAGATATATGTAGTATGACTAGTTACACTAGTATTACTACAAATGTAGTAGAACTAGTAAAACCAGTATTACTGACAGAGTTTTTGTACTGTTTTGGCAGGATACAATGAGGGAGAACGTGTTCATATATTTCAAATGCCAAGGTCGCATGTATAGCTTGATGATGAAGACATCATGGGAGAAGATAACTCTCTCCATGTTAGAAGCTTACTCAAAATCGAATGTTCGAAATGACTGGAGAAGATGCTACGTCCGTAGAGCCATTTGGGAGAAAATTTCGACTTTTTAATTTATTCCACATGGTCTTCTACTTCTTATCTAGCATTGTTATTGGGCACACACAGATTGGAGAAGATGCTACGTCCATGGAGTCATATTTTCTGAGAGCATTGTATGATATGAACTATTTTGGGTTGTAATGTTTCTAATCTGTGTTCATTGTTTACATCCCACATGAAATTGATAGTATCATGGTAGCTGGAGGTGAAGAAGAATATACCTTCTTTATTATATCTTTGTCTTATAGTTGTTGTTTAGATTTGTATAATTGGTAATACTAGGTAAAACTATGTTGGTTTTGTTTTTTATTTTATTTATACTACTGGTATTACTAGGTAAAACTATGTGCACCGTCAAATTTACACATGTGCGAGTCAAATTTACACATGTGCGCCGTCAAATTTGGGGGAAAACCTAAAAAAATGGGATCAAATTCTCAGGGGCTCTCCAGTCTAATCGGATCATCAATTATCCGAACTCACACTTAAGACAACTAATAGAACTTGGTATAACTATATTGTTTTTGTAACTTAGAAATTTGGCATAACTACGTCAGTTTGTTAAACTTAGTACAACTTGGTTAATATAGTTATTTGAAATTTTTGTATAACTAGGTACAACTTGGTACGTAGTTGTTCTACCCAGATTTTGTTCTCTCTCATCCTTTTTCTCTTTCTATAGTAGAGAATAAAAAAATTGAAAATTTTCAAAATTTTAAAACCGTAAAAAACGTGGGTCAAACTGCTCTCGGTCAAACTACGCCGTCATAAATTGCAAGTGGGCGCCGCAAAGCAAGTACATCTGCCAGGTGGCACTGCAAAAATGAACATAGTTATTCCTAGTTTTCAAGTTGTACTCGCATATACACAGTTGTACTTTTTGAGATGTTTTGAATAATTAGTTATACTTGGATTGAAACTAAATTTTTTTAGTTATACCCATGATTTTAGTTATTTGAGGTACATTTCTTATGTTTTCATGCAAAAATATCTGTCAAAACGTTATTTTTGTGTGTTTTGCAATGCAATGGGGATAACAATAACAAAGTCATCTTAAAAGTATAAGGTCTTTCTTATACAAAAATAAGTTTAATGGAAACTATCTTATAAATTTTGTTAAACTAATGTTATTTAAGAAGATTTGTTAAATTATTGGTTAAATTTCTAAAGTGCATATGAAGATTTTATAAATGGTCTAACTAATTTATTAAACAATTTGTACAAAAATGAGTTTAATGGAAACTATCCTATAAATTTTGTTTAACTAATGTTATTTAAGAAGATTTATTAAACATTGGTTAAATTTCTAAAGTGCATATGAAGATTTTATAATTTATCTAACTAATTTATTAAATTACATATAAAGATTTGTTAAATTGGTCGTAGTTGTACCATTAAGAAACCAAGTTTTACCAAGTTATACAAATATAGAGTATCAAACATTAAATACAGACACAAATACACAAATACGGACTGATATGGAATGTTATGATTGGTCGGAACAGTCAATTTTCATTGTTCAAAATAATAGCTTCTTATTGGTCAAATTATTTTTGTTATTTATTATTAAATTTGATTTTAGAAGGGTAAAATGGAGTTTTTGTATTTCATTAAGAGTAGGAGAGTATGTGAGATTTTTGGAGAGTAAATAGATTGATAAGTGAGGAGTAAGGAGCTCCTCAGATTTGGACCCAAAAAAATGGGAGAATTTCAATTTTAGGACACGTGGGCCCCATCTTATCCACGTGTGCGCCGTTTTTTTCCACCAGTGCGCAGCTTTTTTTAAATATAGTTGTACCCTAGTTATTGGTTGTACAAAAAGTGAACTTAAAAGTATAAGGATTATGTTGTATGGAGTCTATTAAAACAATCCGATATGATATAATTTTTTTTTCTCGCTTAATTTATTTATATCATTTATAAGAGTTCATTATTACTTAATAGTCAGTGTAATATTTAATGTTGGAAAAAATAAATTTGAAATTCAAATTCCTTCATAAGTTATACCAGTTTTACTAGTATTACCAAATCTCGTTATTAGTACTATTTTTTATACTAGTTTTACCCATTTGCCATAGAAAAAAAACATAGTATTACATCATAAAAAACTAGTGTTACATAGTTGTCTAAGTCGAAATTGTTTTACAAATCATAAAGTGCAGATAAAATCAAATATTATGATTGCCAAATAACAACCACAAACAAAACAAAACATAATCTCTACTCTCCACAGTTGCTCGGACAATTCTGGTGGAGTGATGACCTCCACATACAAAACATATCTACGGACTACGGTTATTTTCACCTAAAACTAAATAGACACCAACATCCTCATCATCACAAATGTAAATCTCTTCCTCTGGTCCCAACACCACTGCATTGTACCTCATTTGCAATTTAACCTTACTTTTATCTAACACTAGCTTCGTGCATATCCTACCTTCTAACATGGAGAGAGTTATCTTCTCCCCTGATGTCTTCATCATCAAGCTATACATGCGACTTTCGCATTTAAAATATATGATCACGTTCTCCCTCATTGTATCCTGCCAAAACAATACAAAAACTCTGCGAGTTATACTAGTTGTACTACAATTCTGGGTAATACTAGTAAAACTAGTAATACTACATATATTTGGATAATACTAGTGTAACTAGTAATACAACATATATCTGGGTAATACTAGTGTAACTAGTAATACTACATGTATATTGGTAATACTAGTGTAACTAGTCATACTACATACATCTGGGTAATACTAAGTGTAACTAGTAATACTACATATATATTTTTCAATAGATTCAGGTTCAGTTCTACCAAGTTCTACCAGTTGTACTTTCGCGTCAAGAACTCAAATCGAATGGTTTCGGGTTCTAAACTACAATTCACTATGATTCAGTTGCTGCAATCCATTTCTTACCCATTTACAGACATATTCGACCCAGAAACTATGCATAAACTTCCAATGTGCATACCAAACAATTAGCTAAATCCAATTGGATTCAATCTCCTTAATTGTAAATGGTTTTGATTCAATTTCAAGCTCAAAGGAGCTCGAGAAACATACATGTCCTTTCTATCTCGACCCAGCTCGCCGGAGGAGAGGATACGGCAACAATGGCGACTGCAAATCGAATCTGTGGCAACAATGGCGGAAGAGGAGCACGACGAGAGCGAGAGCTCGTTTTTTTTTTTTTTTTTTCCAATTTTCGTTTTTTTTTAAATTTTAGTAATTAATTAATTATTCTGAAAATGAAGGAAGGGTATAATGGGCAACACACATTTCATTAATAGAGAAGGGGATATGTAGACAAATAAAGGATATAAGAGGTTAGTTGCTTTCAAAAAGGGACTTGAGAAACATTTTCTCTGGTTTTGTTGATAACAATCCTCAACTCTATAGCATTATGCTCTGTCTCTACCATCAGGCTGAAGATCACGACATGGTGGTGAAGCTTCTTGGTGAGATGGACGAGAAAAAGATGCAACCCCAAGGACTGTCTTTTGACAAGCTTTTAACTTCTTACTCAATGGCATCTGATTTAGATGTACAAGGAATGGAGAAGTTTTTGAGCAAGTGGGAGGTGATGATTCAGGAAAAATGGACCACATTCTACTTTCCAGGATTGGTCTACCTACGAGCAGGGTTTAGGGAAAAGGGTTTAGCTTTGCTTCGTAGGTCAGAGCCATCTGTTGGTGACCGCGCTAGAGAAATCATCTATGGATGTCTCATGACTGCTTATTGTAGCGAGAATCTAACAGAGGATGTGTACCGTCTCTGGAACTTGGCTAAGGACTATGGGATATCCTTTGACAGTTCCAAATGTTCTGATATCGTCAAGGCGTTTATGAAGAAGGGTGATCTCGATGAGGTTATGGAAGAGTGGGATGAGTGTCCCAATATTGATCTGATGGATTTTGGTCTCCAACATAGATGCATGAAGGAGGAGGCTGAGAAGATTGTGGATATGTTTGGGAAGAAGGAGAGCAAATGGGAGAGTTTGGCACTCAAGGTTAATAATTTGGTGGAGGATGAAGATGATAAAGAAGAGGAGAGGAGGAAAAGAGTGGCAGAGGCTATGGAGGGGAGGCTGCATGACCGCTGGAACCCAAAGAGCAGCATGGCTCTGTCCGCTTATGCATGTGTGCAATATGTGGAGGGTCGGAGAGACATGGAGAGTACAGCTGATATTCTGAGACTCCTGAACAAGCGAGAGCAAGTGTTGCATGCAATGGACAAAGACCGATTGAGCCTGAAGATGGTGGAGGCAATGAGAGGAGGAGGATACGTTGGTGGAGATGATTAACATATCGATCACAATATTTGTAACTCTGTTTGTTATCTAGTTTAGCATTAATCTATTAGGCGTTTCTGAGCAAACACATCAATGATAGCTACACATTGGTTTCCTGGTTGGTGGAGAAGACTAACGTATAAAATCAATTTGTAACTCTGATTGCTATATAGTTAACATTAATCTATTATTAGTTAACTCATTCTTAAGACAAGTTTAAACCCAAAAAATGCTAGTAGGTGAAACGAAATTGCATTTATCCAAATGGTCTCAAGACTTCATTGTTTGGAATGTGTCACTGTCTAGATTCTTACTTCTCCTTCCTCAATGTATCGACCTTTTCCCATTGCATCGACTATCTTCCAACTCAGTCCAGCTCCGTTCATATCGTATAGTAGCTGATCGTATGAAATGTGTCCTCGCTCGCTTAACAGTCTCAAAATCTTTCTCAAACTCTCCATGTCTCTTCGACCCTCCAGATAGTCCACACAGCTCATCAATACAACCTGGTGTGGTCTCCACCCTGGCTTGCTCACATCTATTGCTCTCTTCCATTTCTCCACCGCCTTCTCCATTTCACCCGCCATCTTGTACCCGAGAGCTAAACGCTCCCATGTGCTTGTATCCTCCACTCTCCACTTCTGGACCAACATATTTACTACTTCCTCTGCCTTCTCCATCATCCCCTTCTTGCAGTAACCCGTTATTAACAAGTGTGGAATCCGGATATCGAAAAGGGAGTGTCCAGCTTCCCACTCTTCCATAATCTTCTCAACCTCCTCGATGTCATCCATCTTCAAGAGTGCACTGATCACGCTTATGTATCCAGTGTTGTAGAACCCGTCCAGCTCCTTGTACAAGCTCCAGAGACGGTACACCTCTTCTTTCTTACCTGCAGCTCCATAGAATGACATGAGAACCTCATAGGCATGCTTTCTTTTCCGAGGATTCACCATCTGCTCTGATTTACGCAGCATCTCTATCGCCTTTTCAGTTAATCCAGCCTTTATGTAGCCATTCGCTGTATCAGCGTAAGTGCGCCAGTCCAAATGAAGTCCTGTGTCTGCCTCACAACGCATCAGAAACTTCTCCATCCCCTCTACATCAGATACAGCCGAATAAGCATGGAGCCGCGTGTTCACCGTGAAGATGTCGGGCTTCACAGTCCCATCCTCCATTTCGCGCAGCAACTTCTCTACCATTGTGTATTTCCCAGTCCGGACGTAGAGATTCAGCATCACATTGTAGGGAAGACAACCTTTGAGGAAGCCAAGCTCTTTCATCTCCTGAAACACTTGCTCAGCTTTATGCAACACCTTCTTGCTCGCATAGCAGTTCAAGAGAGCCCCATAGAGATGGTAGTTCCTCCTCTCCATAGGAATCGTTTCGAAAAACTTCTCTGCTTCTCCCAAACCACCAACTTTAGCAATCAAATCAAGCCGAATCGCAACATCTCCTTCAGTGATCTCATGAACTCTATGCTCACTCATCCAATCTGATATCTAACATCATAAACATAACAAGAAGAACAAAAAAGATACCATTTTTAAGATTTGGATTCGTATCATCACAGAGTAACAACAAAAAAAGATGAACTTTTTGTGAAACTAAGCGACAGAGGAATCCAGAAAATGAGAGACCTGAAGGGCGTGAGAGAAACGGCTGAACTTGCGAAGCATCTTGATGATGCCATGGAGCTCTGAAGTCTTCACCAGATGCCCTTGATCAAGCCATCCATCCAACACTCTGATAATCGAAGCAGAGGGATCTCCAGCTCTCGCGACTCGACGCTGCAGAGTGTCGTAAGGGTCCAACGGCGAGGGTGTGGTCTTGCCGGAGTGAAAAAGGAAGCTCCTCCTGAGAATGTAATTTGGCTTTGGACGAACAAGACGAAGAAGAAGAAGAAGATGCTTCATACTTTGAAGATGATACAGATTTCAAACACAGAACCTAAGGTTTAGGGTTTAACATTTGCAATTTTGGAGAAGAAAAAAATCAAAACTTTGGACAGAAGAATTCAACTTGTGTTTACTGAATTTAGTTCTATCGACACGTCGTCGTTTAGGCTTTAGTATGGTTTGGTTCAATGTCAATTTCTCAAAACCTACCCCATATTAATGATAGTTTTGTAATTAAATGATGCAATGATTTATTTATTTTCTTACATTTCCGAAATTGTCTCTCCTCCTATAACTTTCATTTTACTAAAAAAGAAACAGAAATACCCAAAAAAGATGAAGTAATGGAAAAAGAAAAGAGAAGAGAAGAGAAGAAGAAACAGAGAAACAATGGAGATTTCTCCTTACTGTCTGCTTTCTCTTCTTCCCATTTTCCTCCTCTCTGGTTTCTCCCTCTCATGTATATATTTCCTCAATTTCTTTGCATTCTTTTTTTAATTATTTATAAATGATTTGTTTTATTTTCTTTCTATTTTCATGTTCATCATATGGGAGGATAAAAATTGTTAAAAAAGTTTTATGGATTTGAATGTGCAGATGATGAATTTGATGGTCACGCAGCCACAAGCAGAGCTCTTCTTCAGACAAGGACAAGTAAAGATCATCCTTCCTAATTGATGATTTACCAAATCTTGATTCTAATCCCAAGTATGGATCTTCTGTTTTCCTTGTTTTATTGAAACAGCGTGCAAAGAAGATTTCGCAAACAAGAACTACACAATCATAACAAGCAGATGTAAAGGACCAAATTATCCGGCAAATGTGTGTTGCTCCGCCTTCAAGGACTTTGCTTGCCCTTTTGCAGAAGTTCTTAACGACGAAAAGAACGATTGTGCCTCCACAATGTTCAGCTACATCAACCTTTACGGTCGTTATCCTCCTGGAATCTTTGCCAACATGTGTAAAGAAGGCAAAGAAGGTCTTGACTGCACTAATGTCACCCAGTCTGCATCTGCAACTTCTGATTCTAACCCCCGAGCCTCCGCAACTGCATCTCTCGCGGTTCTTTCTACCTTCCTCGTTCTCTGTCTTTTGTTCTTGTCTCCGTGAAGTCTTAATAACACATCTCAGAACATGTTTTATGGATAAAGAACACATTATATATGCCTCTTGGTGTTATGTCTTAAACTCCTTTTCTTTTAAACTTCTCTTGTTTTTTCCATTTAATCATCGAAACACTCAAAAAGATATACATATGAAGGCCTAACAAGAAGCAAAACAGAATCTATGTTTAAAAAGGGCAATGCCATATTACACAATTTGATTCTTGGGTTTATTACACGAATGATTTGATCATCATTACTCGATAAGGTTCATCTACTTTTCTCACCGCGCCTAAATGCGTGGACTGTTCACTAGCACCACTACGAAGAAACAGAGGTTAGAATACATCTTACATAGAACCCGAGGCCAAAAGGTCAAGCTCCGCTCACCAAAAGCTCCCAATCCCAAGTCCCATCTAATCATTTCTTTTCCTGCAACCCATAAAACAGAACTTCTTAGTTCAACAACTACAAGATGCTCTTCAGATCTCCAAACAATACCACATGCAATGCCCCCCAATTGAATTGCACAACACAGGGAACAAGCTTCCCCAACAATTTAGCAGAGCAAAGTGATTAGGGAACAATGAATACACATATCCCCCACAACAAGAACAAAACTAAAAGTTTGTCAGACAAAGATAGTGGAGCCAAGTGACTAGAGACTAGGACTATCACGTAAATCGATGTACTATAAATCTACTAATGATGATTCCTTGTAAAAGGAGAGCTCAGATCGAAACATTCTGAAAATATTGCGGTAAACCATAGTTCTAAACAAGTTTAAGCTCAGTATATTGATGCCAACTTAGAAGATCGTTCGATTGCAATCAACACCATTCATTATTCTCCTCCACATCAATCCTACCAAAAAGACTTAAACTTTAAGTTTTCTAGTTACCTCTGCCCTGTTCAAGGAGAAGCCACCACTGGTGAGAAGCCTCTCAACATATTTCCCCATGATATCAACCTCAAGATTCACTTTCTGCCCAATACTCTTAGTAGGAATCACCACTTTCTGCTGCGTATAAGCAACCATCATGAAATTGAAACAACTCTCTTCATCAAAGACATCAACAACCGTCAAGCTAGTCCCATCAACAGCCACAAATCCTTTAGGCACAATGTATTTCAACAAACCCTTGTCAGCTTTCACCTTCACCCACAAAGAATCACCCTCTACCTCCATTGATTCAATCACTCCCGTCCCATCCACGTGTCCCTGAACCACGTGTCCACCCATCCGGCTCACTGGCTGCAACGCACGCTCCAGATTCACCGGAGATCCTTTCTTTAGCTCCTCCAACGATGTTTTTCGCAGCGTCTCTGGTGCTAACCCCACTGTGAACTCCTCTTCGTTGAACTCCGTCACCGTTAAACAAGTCCCGTTCACCGCAATGCTGTCACCGAGCTTCACGTCCTCCAAAACCACTCTCGCTCCGATTTTGAGGTCGAATCCTCCGTGATCGGCCATTCCCAAGTTCTTGACTTCGCCCATTTCCTCCACGATTCCAGTAAACACGGATCGGATGCTGAGATTTTGCCTCCGGTGATGTCTTCCACATGATGTCTTGAGAGAAAGCTTCGATGAGTTAGAGACGCAATCAAATCTGAGATTAGTCACTGATTCACCAGTTCTCGATTGAGGAAGACAAACTTTGGGGATGAGGTTGATACAGTGAGTACGAGCGGCCATCATTTCTCAAGAACCAAACTTTTAGCCTCGCAATTTCTCAAGATCCAAACTTTAGAGATTTAGGTTGTGAACAGATAAACGGGGCAAAATTGAAATAAATAAGAAGTTAGAGGACCAATTTGAAAATCAGGTACTACTGACTTTTACTACATAAATAAACGTTTTGAGACAAAATTTAGAGCTTAAGGAGCCCCTGAGAATTTGTTCCAACAAAAACTGTATTCTCTCATGGTCTATGGGAACACATTTCTATGGACTTCTTGTCAAGAAGATGGCGTCCAGTGACTCGACTCAATCTGCAAGACTGTTCAATCATCAATCTCTGAATGGAATCTTGTTCCCACGGGACAATCCCGAAGTCATCGTTGAAACCTTCCATGCCTTCTATCAGAAACTGCCATACCAGTGTTCCTGCACCAGACCGCTTCCGCTTGGCTGATTTGTAAATAACATCAAAGATGGTTCTGTAGAACCGATCCCGCTGCGATGGATCATAGTCCTTGTTCAGATTCGAGAGTCCAAACTCGGTGAACAGAACAGGCTTCTTCAGTTCCTTGTCCCCATCTTCAATGTGAGATAGCATCCATTTCACCACAAACTTGAGTTTTTCTTCAAACCCCTGATCGTGAAACCTGCCAAAGTTTCCAAATTTGTGTTTATAAACAAGAACCCCACGCAGCAATCAAATTTGTTCACACAGTTCTTAACAGAGGCTTACCAGTGGTCGGGGTAGATATGAACTGATGCAAAATCGATGTTTGGCGAATCAGAGTTTCGAACAAAATCTGATCCAAGCTCAGAGGCCCACCGTTCCGGGTTAACTGTCAGCCGTTTAGGGTTATTGGGACCGTAGAACCCTTCCAAGCCTACGGTTAGAAGATGCTTGTTGTCAATTGATTTAATGAACGCTGTCATTTCGTTAATCCAGTCCTTTAAATCCACATACCAGAACAAGAAACCACCAGAGTAACATTACTAATTTTCAACAATTACTAATGATCCAATGTTGGACAAGGAAACCACAAAACTGAAGGAGAACTCACTTGTAGAGTATCCCCAGAGACATCAGACATGCAGCGAGGCTCGTTTATCAACTCCCATGCAAAAATTGTTGGGTCGTTTCTGTACTCAATCCCGGTTAAAGAGTTTTTGCGGGTCAGCAGCACCTGGCAAATGGAAAATGAGAGTGATTCCAAGCTTAACATCAATTACACAACCATACAAAAGCTATTGCATGGAAACTTCTCCAAGTCTATGGGTCAAGCGAGAGTAAATTGATCGTAGCATCTCTTATATTTCTGGATTCAGTATCTAATTCAACTATGATGATATAGACTAACACATCCATGTTCACATAGAAAAGAGATAAGATTAGAAAAACATACCGTCAGATAATTCTTGAAGTATCTGCGGATAGATGGGTCAAAAAAGAAGGAATCATTGGAGGAGCTGAGGCCTACACCTTCCTGCCATGCCCAATTGACGTACTGAGTCTTCCCTCCATAAGCTTGCAAGTTATTCACTAAGCTAAGAAGCAACCTAACACCATGTGTTTTTGCCTCTGCGATTACATGATCCAAGGCCTGACCATGTTAATATAAACTTTGTTAAGAGAGAGAAGAGAGATCAGTTTAGCATGAGACAGAACACCTAAAGTGGCTAACGATAAACATTGTCCAAGCTTCAGACTCAGAACAGGACAAGTAAACATCAAACTGAATGTACAAGAATGTGTAAATACTGAAACCATTAGCCTTGAAGTATGCATTGCAAACGAATTACAGATACAAGAAGAAGTAAGTAAATGCAGATTCTTCCCATTCCAAGCTATAAGAAACATTGAATTGCTCATGAAAAGAGATATAATTGGATGCTGCATTGCCCTAGTCTATATCTTATCATCTTCGTTGACATTTCTGATTAAAATAAGTTGAAGGAAGACTAAAAATGTCGGCAAAAAAGACAAAAAAGATACCTTGAAGACTCGTTCATCGAATCTACCAGGAGAGATCTGAAGAGCATTGTAGCCTCCATCATTAAAAGCCCATGTTCTACAAACAGTGAGACCCATTTTAGCTCCAGCTTCAAGCATAGCACCGACACGGTGTCTGCTATGATCATTCACAGCATGGTCCATGAACCAATAAGAGTTCCAACCATTCACATACAAAGCCTTACCATCGACCACAAACTGTGTCCCATTCCGTTTCACGAATCCTAACTCGCCCTCCCTTTTGAAATCGAACAACAAATCACCAAACGAGAGATAGATAAAAGCCACACATGTAAGAAAACCTAGGATTGGTATCACTGGCCCGTTCCCTGTAGGAGCCATGCCTCTTGTTCCTCTTAATAGCTTCTGATATTTCAGAATCGCTTGTAATCTCGCCAGTTTCTTCGGATTCCTCACCAATTTATCCAAACCTCACCTAGATGGGTAATAAAAATTGCACCTTTTGAGAGAAAATGCAATCAAAGTTTCAACTTTTATTGACACCCAAAAAGATCAAAATGTGTCCACGTTTCGGAGAATGTGAAGAAAATCTCAGAAAAATCGAAACTTTTTAATGAAAGATTATCCCTTTATGGTTTAAGCCCCAAAAACGTGAACTTGATGAATGCCCACATAATAGATCTCTCTCTATCGCTCAGTGTGAGGATGATGAACGAGGAAGAAGGAAGAAGAAGGTAGCAAGTAAGAATCAGATTTCACGCAGTTTGATGTGTGTGTGGACAACTATACGTTAATTTCGGAGGGGCTTTTACGGTAACACGTTGGTATCCTTAACCCACCAGATCTGCCACACGATTGACATATACATTTCTCATTCGGTATTTAATCCAATTTATTGAAAAAAAATACTGAATTCCAATTTAGGGCCGGACTCGTTTAAACGCTTGCGGGAGTTTGCGGAAGCGGGCGGTTGCAGTTTTAAGCGTTACCAAGCGTTTTGAACGACTGGTTTAGCGTTTGAAAATGGATGCGTTTGCGGAAGTTTTATGACTGGTAAACCAGCGGGTGCGGTAGCAGTTAAATAAAAAAATGACAAAAAAATAAAAAATATTACAAAAAAAGAAATAAAAATACCAATATATTATTATGACAATATTAGAAAATTTGAACATGCTTAATAATTAAAACCATAAATAAAGTATTAAATAGTTATTCAAAAATAAAGAAATTTTGTAATAAGATAGTATTTTATACTGGGTTAACACCAAAAATTACATCAACTAATGGGACAAACTATAAATAACGTTGAATTCAATCAAAAAGCAAGTGATTTTCTATTCGAGAAAATAAATCGAAACATATATTCAATCAAAAAGCAAAGCAACACATAATGAAAAGAAAAACACGATGTCAAGAAAAATATTCAAAGAGTTACACATGAGGTGATGAATGAATAAAAGGATATATGATACTTACGTTTGGTTCTTGATTTTTATCAGTTTGGGTGGAAGACATTGAGAAAATAAGGTTTTAGAATATTGATTAGGGTTTATGATGAGAACGTGATACAAAGATGAAAGATACATACAGGATTAATATATTTTATAATAATTATAAGTAAACGTTTGGTTTTTTTTTTTTTTTTTTTAAATCCAACCGCTACCGCCCGCAACCGCAAAAGCTTGTGGGAATGAGCTTTTGAAATTCAGCGATTTCGAGCGGTTTGAAGCGGTATGGAGCGGTTTCTATGATTGGTACTAATCGCTAACAACCGCAACCGACTGCTAGCAACCGCTAGGAGGGTGCTAGCGGGAGAACCAATCAAGCCCTTAAAGTCCATTTGACTCTGTCTTCCCCATCGGAGTTTGACTCCACTAAGTCACGTTATCCCGTATAGTAGAGATTGGTTATGGATCGGACTTTGTCAATCTAAAGATGTAAAAAAAAAATATATATACTATAGAAGAGTGAAGCAATGATAAAAATCAAAATTGTTGTGAAAAACATATTCTAGTAGTTATTTATTCCAAACAAAATAACTAAGTGATAATTATACTAATCTCTTTTTTGGTTAATAATTTTTTTTGTTATGACTATATGCAATGTTCCAAGTCAGAATAATAGAGGATTGAATATAAACTTAAAGATTTTGTAGAAAGACAATATTGCTATTGGAAGCGGGTAATTTAGGAAGGGGATATGTATTGAAAGCGTATATATATACACTAAATTTTAACATGCGGTATATTGCGGGACGATTTGTTTTTAAAATTAGTAATTTTTAAATTTAATGGTTAAATTAAAATTATTAAGAAGTGTGGTGGTCCTTCGGGAAGGAGTCTGTTCTCTAACATTTTAATGTTTTTTTTTATCTAAACTGGCCGAATAAGCCGATAGAATATATACATATATATATATAAAGAGTGTGGGAGCATACATGAGGGGAAATTGGCGTTTTTCAATCCGAACAAATTTCAAAGTGTGTTTATATATCTCAAATTCTCAACAAATATACAGTGCCTTTTTCTATCTCAAAGCCAAAATAAGTCAAAATTACTACCTAACATATTAAATTTGAACGTAAAACTACATTGACTTAAACAAAATTAGTCAACAATTTGTTTTATTCACTTAAACGACATGATGGCAACGAGGAATAACGTCGTTTTGGGCATTTGAGTCCATAAACTTAACACGGTGACAACGAAGTGTCGTTTTATCTTTACCAATGTTATTTTGTCTATCAAACATCATCGTTTCGTTGAGTTTATGGACTAAAATGACCAAAATGATATCGTTTGGTTTATTTTATGAATTCAAATAACCAAAACGACGTTATTTGATTAAGATAAAATGATACATCTTCGCTATCATGTCGTAAACAAACGGTTGACTAATTTTGTTTAAGTCAATGTAGTTTTACGCTCAAAATTAGTAGTTTGGATAGTAAATTTGAAATATTTTGACGTTGAGATAGTAAAAAGTATTATATGTTAATTGAAGTATAGAAACATACTTTGCAATTTGTTCTGGTTGAAAAACGCCATTTTCCCATACATGAGCTTCCATTATTGTAAGTTCTTTACTTAGTTGATCAAGGGAACGTGTCCTTAGCCCCACCAAACTAGTATATATACCATCATGTTTTTTTTTTTTTTTTTTTTGGGCAAACTAAGCATATCATATAATAGAAATGAGTTTAACCTCTACTAAGAGAGGATACAACATGGCTACAAAGAGCCGGATAAACCGAAACAACGACATACATAGAGGTCGAGCAAGAGTAAAAGCTAACAGCAACAACAAAGCTCAAAATGAGACTTTGGGATAATGGTGAACTAAAAAGTTCTCCCAAAGAGGCATCCAACCACGAGCATCCAACAAAGCAAACATCTTTAGTTTGGAAGTTCTTGTTGAAACCACAAGGAGGAGAAAACAAAGCCTCCATAAGTCCTGACGCCAAACAGTCAGTAAAAACTGAACGAGAACAATCTTGAACAATGATCCTCGCTTCTACATCAAGTAGAACAGTCTTGAACACAATGCTCCCTGTAACAATACCACTAAACACAAGTGAAGTATTTGGGAGGATAATAAGCTCCTTAGAGGAGAGATGAGGGCTGTGAAAACCCCAAAGAACCAGGTTAACTGGTCGGTTGTCAATACTCAAACATCTTTGTCCAAGCTGCCACGAGACAACTTCTAACAAAGCATAATCGAGATAAACTCTGCATACTGCAGTAAGTGATCGCATCAAAGCGATAAAAGTGCTAGAAGAGAGCACAAATATAGACACAAGAGTATCCAAGCCCATCAAAACCGAATAAGCTAGATCAGAGTTCCACAAAACCAAAGCCAAAAACTCAACGAACATCCAAATAATTCTTTCCATCCTAAAAGAATTAGAGTGTGAAGAGCTAGAGCATACTTGGGGGAATGTCTGAGGAGGGAAGGTGTAGGCGTCGATGAGATAACAACCATCATTGAAGGAGGCTATGGTTGAAGAGGTTGGGCAGTGACGAGCATCAAGATCTCCAAAACAGATTGCAAAAGGAGACTCGTCGGGAGGCTTCACAGTGAGGGGCCCCTTTGCTGGCAGGTGAGAAAGACTCGTCGTCGACGAAAAGCTAGCTCTGGCGGAGGAGAGTTGGAGGAGTGAGTCAAACGTGCTGAAGGAAGTGAAGCTCGGCGGTTGAGAAAGAGATTCACCAAAGGAGAGGCAGATTTGCGGGTCTGGTGGATCCGGTGGTTCTGGTGGATCGGAGTCAGCGGAGACGGAGGCTCCGGCGGTGGTGCACGAGTGGGCCTCAGATTGAGGAAAGCAACCGAAGACAACGGTAGGCAACTAGAGCGGCTCGAAGTCGACAGAGGAGAGAACGTCATCTTAGGTGAAAAAAAAACTCGCCGGAAAATCAGATCCGTCACCGGACAAAGAGGTCCACCTGAGAGATCTCCCCTTAGCAGCAAGCATCGATCAGGAGAGGACGTTGTCGGAGGAGCAACGCCGGAAGAAAAAGCTCATTTCGTCAAGAGGAGCGGCTCCTCGGTTCTCGTGCCTGGGAGAGAATTTTAGGGCGAACTCTCAACACTCAACTTATGTTTTCTTTTTCTCTTTTGTTAGTGTTCTTTTTCTCGTTTCTATTTTCAATTATAAATCCAAAAGCAACGTAAGACTAGGAAAACATTTTTGAAGAGTAAAGAGACGTTCATGTTCGATTAGACAATGATCCTAATAATTACTACGTAAATCGCTGATATGCTAATAAAAATAAGTAATCTTCTGACTAATCTAATTTTATTGTGATTTGGAGAAGGAAAAAAAAAAACTTGCTATGCCAACGTACGACATCATGTGCAACCCTGCCTTCTCAGGCTCCACCGCTTAATGCGTCATGCAATATCTTCATATCAAGAATAGTTATTAATGTCAGTGCATGTATATCAAGTATGTGTTGTTGAAATGTTCATTCAAATTTAAAACTGAAACAAAGAAAAAATAAATCTTTGTCTCAGACTTTTTCCTAAACAATCTCTACAAAAATAGACCACATGCTGACTGTCACTAGATTCAGATTCTCAGAAGTCATGTGCGTTATTTTCCTCGTTAGATTTGAAAAATGTTCAACCATGTGAATCCCACATAAAATAATACTTTCTTACTATAAAATCTAACATTTTATATATTTGCTTAAGTTAATTTCTGTTAAATCTATCTTTTGTTGGTAAATCAATATTTCATAATATCACAATTCAAAACCAATGCCAATATATGGTATTTTTTTCTTTTATAAATTTGTATCAAATTTTGGCGATCCATGATAAGAAATGGTTATTGCTTATTCTCGACCAAAAAGTGCATGTATGCATATAGACCAGATTGTATAGTCGAGTAAAAATAAAACATGTCAATCATTTTCTTAAAAAAAGGTTTTGTTCTTTAAAAGATTGTTGATTCTGAAAATCACACAATGAATTTGTTTAAATGGGAAAAACAAATTCAATTAACTCTCTCTTGCTATTAATGATCAAAAGCTCAAATATAGGGTGAATTTTATTGCTTAGAGACAACGCTAGGGTTTACCTCAAGAACAATTAAGGTTTTTTTGTGTAAAAGTTGTGGATCCCCTAAATAGAGGACAAACCCCTCTATTTATACAATTTTAGGGCGGTTTAGAGATAAGTTAATCTTCTAAATCTTCAAGGCTTTATCTTCCGATTTTCTTTTCTTTTCGGGATTCTCCTTTATCTTCTAGGAAAATCTCCTTTTTCTTGAATGAGGAAATCGGTTGCAGGCGATCTCCCATCTTCGAATTGAGCTCGCCTGGCGATCTCCTTCTTCAGCCCATTAACACGC